TTCTGGTTTCCCCACGAAAAACGATATGCATTCCTCTTATCCCCCGTGTGTTACATTCCTTACCCATCTAATCCTCCATGATTTGGTCATTCTTATACAGCAGATGCTGTAATGCCAGACCCATTCCTTGCATGTTGTGTTGTGGGGTCAGCATGCCCGGCACCCATCGTGCACAGACTTTGTGAAAACCTAACCTGTCATGCATTATGAGGCAGGCCATGCTGTGTGAACACGCCTGGTTCCGACAGCAGCCCAAAGAATGTTATGCTGCTGGTTTTCAGGGGCTTGTGGAACGATGGGACAAGTGCCTCAGTGTAGAGGGAGATTATGTTGAGAAATAAAAGCATTTTTTCAAATTAGTACTCTTATTTGTTTAAGTTCTATATCCATTTGTAACTTACCTATTGACTTGCCTACGTACAATGAAGAACTGCTAAATGAAGATGGTAGTTCTAAGTGCCCGCTGAAAGAGGACTGAAAATTCCTGAACCCACTCCCCAGAAAGAACGGATACAGTAAGTTTTCTGGCCTGACTCACCTGTCAATGAGGCAGTATTCTAACGGCATCTTTTGAGACGCCGAATTTAAAAAGTTTTAGACATTTCACTATAATTCGACTGTTGAGAGGACGGAACATGTGTCATCAGCTGCAAATAAGCGGAGAGGCAGATGTGACAAATAACTGTTAGTATGGACCGCTCACTGGTAAATATACTTATATACGGAAAAAATTTGTCATCGATGAACCCAGATACATGAACACCTGTACAGTAAAAAGGTAAAGTTGTCCCCGTGTTCAACTAATTAAGCACTACGCCATGAAGACGTATGGGGAGTGGCTGTACAAATCCACGTTTTCTTGACTTCAGCGCTATTAGTTGAAGGTGGGTGATCAGCTTCATGCTTCATTGGATAGGAGGTTAGGTGGGTCCCAGAGACGATCTGGATGACATGTAGAATTGTAAATTTTTTCTCCCACCGGTACTCGAACTCCAACCCCCTACAGCCCGTAGCCATGCCGACCGCGCTATCCCGGCTTCCTAGTCAGGTAGGGGTAGAATTCATGTTTCATACTGATAACATGACTTGTATGTCTTCGGAGTGTGGACCACAGTTTGAAGATCCCATGTTTATAGAGGTTCCATACTCAGCAGTAATTGACCAGCGAGTTGCACGCAGTACCCACCAATCAGAATTTAGAACGCCGCACCTGGGTGCACAATCTGTCTCCCTTGCCGTGTCATGTCACTTGCATTTGTCTGCCACACATGTATTGTTTCACGCCCAGAAATTGTGCCATCCTGGCAACAGCTTGAACGTCACACGTCACGTGAGACAAGTGCAGGCCTTCCTCGGACATGCGGAAACAGACCGTGAAGTGAGTTCATTGTAACGTGGAACGTACAGGGCCACGTTCCTGGAATTCAAGGCTCAATGGGTCTGGGGCCCACACAACCTCCTATCCAGTCGGTACTGCGGGCTATTTTCTCGGAGGTTAAGCACCAGGGACGTGAAGCTGACCATTCACCTCCAACTAGATTCGAGGTCAAGAAAATGTGGATCCGTAGCTCCACTCCATAATACGCCTTCATGGCGTAGTGCTAAATTACTTAAGCACAGGGACCAGTTTACATTTTACGCTATAGCTCTATTGCCCCTATTAAAATCTAAAGGTATATGAAGTAAAGTCGCAAAGAATATTTAAACTGTTAAAACTAAATAGATTAATTAATATTGTGGCGTATAGACCCATTGCTAAGCGGTGACTGTAACAATGATGGTTTCTGGGTAACAGCTCGGTAAACACGTTCCATCTGCAACAGTAGAGCTACTCTTGGAAATGGGGTGATTCTGCATGGTCCATGCTAAATTGTTATAAGCAAGGGACAAAGTCAGTTATTAGGCAGATGTGCACGGGAGGCTGCGAAGGTAGAACCTGAGCGCGTGAAGCTGAAGAATCTTCACTGTTAGAAGCCGTTGCCAGGCTGCAGACTGGAAAAGGCTTAGCGGGTGCTGTGATAAATTTTGGAGATTAGTGATAGCGCTGTAATGCATGTAGTTCCGAGTCGTGTGTATAAGTGGTCAATAAATCGAGTCACCAATCCGAACCCCGTCTACAGTCACATATACTACGTGATAATATTTTACCATGTTACGATTCAAGACACCAGAGCATTAGAACATCATTATGAGTTGTTATTTCAGCAACCAAAGCATTTTAAGAAACTTGTAAGCTACAGCATTTATATTCTACTAAAATCCCTCATCTCATCTCCACCGTCTCGTCAAATTCAGATAGGAGGTCTCTCATTATGGGAGATTATGGGAGATTTTGGTTTCGCAGAGGACACCGGAAGAGTGGTCTTTGTGGTCTTCAGCTTTCTGAAGAAACTGTTCAAGGTGCGGAATTCTAGTTTCGAGTCGTAAAGGTGGAAATTCGGAGCTTAAATTTAACGGGTGTTAATTCGCTGGGCTAGTAATTCTGGAAATCATAGGCCATATCCGACTGTACTCGAGTTAAGTAGGAAATTTAGGCCGCTCCATAGCCCAAGCGGTTAGTCGCTGGCTCCCCATCGCGGCGGCCCGGGTTCTATCCCGGGTCTGGTCAAGTGGGATTTGTGGTGGACAAAGTGGCGCTGGGACAGGTTTTCTCCGAGTACTTCGGCTTCCCCTGCCAATCTTCATTCCACCAATTGCTCCACAATTACCCTCACCTATCATCTGGGGCTGGTACAATAGGCCAGAAGTGGCCGCAGTACAAGGTACTTAGTCCCACCCCACTAGCAATAAAAAAGAGAAGTAGGAAATTACTCCGTTTTCTGAGATATAGTTAACATACTGCCAAGCTCAACTACGTGTATATCGAAAGTAAAAATAGTGATCATGTGCCAGTGTCGATTAGATCGAATTCTGCCCGGCGTTGACGCCAAAAAAACTACGTGAGCGGAAGCGGGAGATATAAAATTCTCATTTCTTGACAGTGACGCTCAAAATGCGAAAACTCAGCAGAGTGTTAGAGGGATTGTTTCCATTCCTTGTGATTCTGGAAGGCTTAGAACACACTGCATCATGGGATTTGCTTTCCCTCCTCTTAAGCATATTGGTCGTCGTCACAGTGGCAGTCGTACTAATTTTATTTACCATATCATTATCAGCGTTTGGATTTGAACCCAGTATCATGAGAATTCTAAACGAGTTACCCGTATTCTGGAGTGGGACTAGCTCCCGAAGGTGGTGTAGGCTATACGGTGTTAATTAGTATCAAAACCAATGAGGAACAAGACATCTTAAAAAAGAAATCCCGACCTTGCTCTAATCTAGAGCTCTTTTACGTAGTTTATTTTAGATGACATAAACGATCGTCATTTTTATTCTAATTTATTTATGGTTCACTTAACGACTCTCCTAGTAAATCAAACTGTATAGCTTCGAAAGGTAAGATTATTTGTGTATTGAAAAGGATTGGGAAGGAACAGGTATTATCCTAATTTGAGGTACTATTGAAGTATTTGCATAAGAGCCGGGAGCAAGGAGTCAGATTTCAAGTCCCGGTGGGGGCAAGAATTTTCCCTTCCCCATGTCGTCCAGACCGACTCTGGGGCCCACCCAGCCTCCTATCCAATGGGCACCGGGGTAAAATAGCCATGGCGTGAAGCTGATCGCTCACCACCAGCTAGTGCTGAGATCAATAAAGCATGGGTCTCTGTCAGTCCCCCTTACGCCCTCATGGCATAGTGCTTAATTAATTAATTACAGGGACAACTTTACCTTTTATTGAAGTATTTGCGTAGAAGGATGGAGGAAATCGCGAAGAACCTCAGTCAAGTATGACTGTGTTTGGAGATGACTAAAGAAATGATTGGTGGCACCCTGTTTTATATCAGTATCTCACAGTTCTCTTGGAGACACTGAGTAAAATCACATAAACCTGAATTTATAATATAAAATAATCCGTACAGGTGGTTAGTTGACTGATCAATAAAAGTGAGAGGAATAAGCATGATTAGTTCTGGAGAATGTAACATCAGCCTGAGTTGAACACATGTTATGAATGGAGCAGCAAAAACTGAGAAAACTGCAACGTAGCGTAGGTTAGCCTTCCCATAGAATTTTACTCTAAAGATTTGTGGATCTTACATTGTTGACTCTTCTTTCCTGAAGATGTAGGCCACATAGCGAAGACAGTAATCTTCATAGGTGTAAGAGCCTCAAATCCCATATCATTGAATCCTGCTTGACTGTAATTCTTCAATCTTTCAGCGTCTTATGTTACCCAATCCAACAGTTGGTTTCTATGTCAATTTTCTATCAGCTGTAATTCCACTTTTTTATGAACTTGGTGATTGTAAATGTATATTTATGTTGTCTTTGAACACAAGTATCATATGAACCTACAGCTTTTTGAGTATCATTTCCATAAAGAAATGTTTTGCCTAGCGTAAGAAATCAAAGACATTGAAAATTCAGTGTAAATAAAATGTAAGAAAGAATTTCCAAACTGAAAAATGTGCAAGTGTGTTATTTTAAAGTCCCGATTTCAGAAGCACAACATCCCTACATCCTTTAATCTGACCCTGAGATACTGCTGTGAGGAAATCGCGTCCACCAAACGGACTACAGGCTGGAAAACGTGGGCTTAGGTAGTGGCAGATATGAAGCTGACCACTCACCAACTAGTGCCGAGGTCAAGAAACGTGGATCTAAATTTTCACTCCCCCATACGCCTTCATAGCGTAGTGCTTAATTCGTTAAACACAGGGACAAATTTACTTCTTTATACGACTGTATCAGATGCTGTCGGAAATCGTGTAAGCACACGTAATTGAATGCCAAATATGCTATGTTGGACAGTCGGCTGAAAACGGTATTAGTAAATGTTGTGTTCTTGCCCACGACCACGTTCTAATGTGGGTTTTATTTGCAAGTTTTTTGTCACTTTTTTTTATGCAGTTATGAAAATGAAACTTATGCATCCGACTGTACGTATCGGTAAGTAGTCGCATGATGGCGGGGTAGCGTGTGAAGGGAAGGAACAGTGGCAATTATGTAATGTAGGCGTGTTGTAGGTTATGTGTGTAACCGTATGTGTATTAAAAATGAACGCAAGATAACATTATTTAAATAATCGGCTTGTAAATATGATTTATATTGTTTGCTTTAAATTTATTAAGAATTAAATTCTTAAGAATATTTAACTGAAATTTGTTTAAGATCATGGCCAGGTGGCAGATGCATGTTAAAAGTATATTGTACTTTGTTTTATCATATTTTAAATATGTTGCATCAATATCAGATCATCCTGTTATATTGGTGATATCATATGATGGTTTTCGCTATAATTATTTGGACAAGAATATAACACCAAACATGAATAAAGTGAGAATCAGTGGATCCCATGCGGATTATATGAGGAATGCATTTATAACAAAAACTTTCACTAATCATCACTCAATTGCAACAGGAGTTTACCCTGAAGTTCATGGGATTCTAGCAAATGATGTATATGATCCTAAATATGGTAAAATTCTACACTATGGTTATGAATTTTGGCATTTCAATGATGCAGTAATTCCAGTATGGGTATGTACGGTACATAACTATTTATTTGCATGGCTTGTTGTGTATTAACTTCTAATGAAATATCAGAGTTGTTGCAGCCCCATTTAGATGTGTATATGTATATGTCAAATACCAGAATATTTGTATGGTGTATAAACTTGCACAACTTGTAAGCAGTATTTTTATTGCTCTGTGTTTTAATGTGTTTATGGAAGTAAGTGTAACTGATTTTTCACAAAAATTGCTCTTTGATTTCCTTTATTTCATTATGATTAGATAAGGAAACTAACAGTATGTTAATGTTTTTGTTTGTAAAGAAATTTCAGAATATAGTTGTTCAATTTTTTTACAATTCTTGCAATACAGTAATTACATATATATATATATATGAATTGCCTGATCAGTGCAAGGAGGCTATTATTGTACCAGTTCACAAGAAGGATAATAAAACTGTAGTAATTATCATGGGATATTAGTGCTTTCAACTTCATACAAATATTTATGCAATATCTTTCTCTCAAGATTAAGTTCATATATAGATGAAATTATTTGGGATCATCCATATGGGTTTTGATGTAACAGATCAGTTACTGATCAGGTCTTTTCCATTCGTCAGATACTGGAAAAAATTTGGAATACAATGAGACAGTACATCAGCTACTCATAGACTTCAAGAAACCCTATGATTCAATTACAAGGGAAGTATTGTACAGCATTGTGATAGAGTTTGGGATACCAATGAAACTAGCTAAGCTGATTAAAATGTGTTTAAACGAAACATATAGTAAAGTCCATATAGGTAAACATTTGTCTGATAATTTTCCTATCCAGAATTATCTAAAAGAAGGAGATTCTTTATCGCCACTACTTTTTGACTTTGCTTTAGAATATGCCATTAGGGAGGTCCAGGAAAACCATGTGGGACTGAAATTAATTGGGACACATCAGCTGTGGTCTATGCTGATGATGTGAATCTACTGGGAGATTACATAATTACACAGGAACTTTAATTGATGCTAGTAAGGAGGTTGGTCTAGAAGTAAATGCAGATAAAACTAAGTATATGTTGCTGTCTCATTTCCAGAATGCAGGACAAAATCATGACATAAAGATAGCTAACAGATCCTTTGATCCTTTCAATTATTTGGGAACGATAGTGATAAATCAAAATTTCATTCAGGATGAAATTAAGAGGATACTGAATTCAGGTAATGCTTGCAACCATTTAGTCCAGAATCTTTTGTCTTCTTGTCTGCTGTCTAAAAATGTAAAAATTAGAATGTACAAAACTATAATTTTTCCCTTTTTTCTGTATGGGTGTGAAACATAGACTGAGGGTGTTTGAGAACAGGGTGCTGAGGAGAATATTTGGACCAAAGAGAGATGAAGTGATGGGAGATTGGAGAAAAATGCATAATGAGGGGCCTCATAGCTTGTACTCTTTGCCAAGTATAATTAGAGTGATCAAGTCAAGGAGGATGAGATGAACAGGACATGTTGCACAAATGGGGAATAATAGGAATGCATATAGGATGTTGGTGGGGAAGCCAGAAGGAAAGAGTCCACTAGGAGGACCAAGACATAGGTAGGTGGCTAATGTTAAAATGGATCTTAGAGGGATAGGATGGTGTGGTATGGACTGGATTGATCTGGCTCAGGATACGGACAAGTTGAGGGTTCTTGTGAACATGGTAATGAACATTCAGGTTCCATAAAATTCTGAAAAGTTATGAGTAGCTGCATAACTGGCAGCTTCCCAAGAAGGACTCAGCTCCATGAAGTTAATTAGTTATATGAAGTGAAGTGTTCAGTTGAGCATAAATAATACACTGAAATATGTAAGATCTGAGCAGTTATTTCATATCTTTACAATCCATTTAGCAGTTACATGGGTTTTGTTTGGTGCAATAAGTGCAAATAAAACTGGAAGTCAGTAATATGTTCCTAATTAAAATTTTATATAATTCGTCTCATTGTTAAGTAGTTTGTACCAACTTTCATACAAAATACCTATTGTGTTGCAGTGCAGGAATTCTGATATCTTTTTGTAAAATATAAAACTGATTATTGGGTCACTGATATATTGGGTTTCTGGACTTTATCCATCGTCCTGGTTTTTAAGATAAATAAAAACACGTCGTTTCGGAAACTGGATCTGTTTCCGTCCTCAGATGAAGGAAAAGGGAAACACCTATTCTGTTGGGTCCGTTAGAAAGAGCTAGCCTCAATCACTGGACAAACCAATGTCACAAAACATGAAGATTATAAACACCTGAAACCAGGCTAAGTCCATGAGAGCTAATAAGAAAAATATTCATAACAAATTGTTGCGAACACATACAAGCGTTTATTTGTTATCATAAAAACCAGGACGATGGATAAAGTCCAGAAACCCAATATATCAGTGTGTATACACACCATCGTCAGAATCCTATAGTAACTACTTGATTATTGGGTTTCCCAGACTGTTACCTCCCTTTGATTTTCCTTGAAAATATGCATAATATATGCTACACTGTATCAAAACCCCTACCTGGGAAAGCTTCAGGTGTTACAGGGCAGTCATATCAGTGGAAACTTTGGATACTCAGATACAATCACAGAGATTGAGTGAATCAGTCTGTAACACCAGTGAATTTAATTTCTAGACACTGAATGAGCAGGCTGGAGAAGGACGCCACAGTGGTGTCATGATGTGGCCTGGGGGAGGAGATGAGGTGTACCTGAATACGACACTGACATTCAGCCATAGTTTCAACTCCTCTGTTCCATTCTTCGATCGTGTTGACACTGTACTGTCTTGGATTCTGCACCCACAGACACCTGCTAATCTTGTCTTTCTATATTTTGAGGTATGAAAATGTGTACTTATGTGGTAAGTGCTGTTCCGTTACAATTTATGAAAACTTCATTTATTTTCTTAACTTATCTTAAATATTTTATTGCTTGTTACAAGGTTTCTTGCTATGTATTGGATGTTAGGAAGTTATATTGTGACATATGGGCTGTTTCTATAACAATAGAGGATTGTCCATGAACATTCTCATGGCAACAAATATAGGCAACAATAGAAGTTCTGCAACTTCAAATTCGAATGGTTCATATGGTTCACCATATCAGCAAAACTGCTAATTTCAAAGCCACTTGGTATCTGATAAAAGTGGTTCGTGATGGTTTTTCTCGGTAAGGAATATATCAATTTCATTCCTGAGCTGAAAGAAGTGTGAAAGAACCTTTCCACAGCTAAGCCATCGAACTGCAGTATAATATGTCAGGTCAATAAGCTCGGAATCGCATTTACCAGTACTCACTGGAAAATTAGTTCAACTGGCACATTTCTGCACAGTTCTTTCCCAGGCCGGATAGAATCACATCGTGGGCCGTAGTTTGGAGACCCTTGCTGTAGAGCATCACATCACTATCTCAGTTGGGACTATTCGTGTTTTTTACTTTGTCTACCATCTGGTATTTTAAAGAATGCAGTGACTGAGGTTAGCGATTTCTAACAGACCCCGCAGAGTGGGTGTCTCCTAACCTCTCACCTTAAAGAGGAAACAGGTCCTGTTTGCAAGACAGTGGACAAAATCCAAAAACCCAGAAGTCCTGTTTGTTATTCACCAATGTCAGAAGCCTTTAGAGTACACTAACTCAGTATTTCTATATTTGTTTATAGAAAATTTCCAGTTAGTCCTTCAGTGTTCATACAAAATTAAATCAAAGTCTGTAGTTTATGGATATTTTGATGTTTAAACAGTGGCAACTGTTCACTATGCACATGACTGTTTACTTTGCAGGAGCCTGATAAGACTGCACACATATATGGACCTGAATCTCAAGAAGTTCGAGAAGAAATTTCTAAGGTTGATAATGTAACTGGTTACTTAGTAAAGAAATTGCAAGAGAATAATTTGACAGATTCAGTTAATGTGTTCCTCTTGAGTGATCATGGGTTTGAAACAGTTACACCTCCAAGAATCATTAATATAACAGAAGTAATTAAAGAAATGAATTATACTATTGTGGGGAATTCCCCTGCACTTCATATTTATCCACATGATGGTAAGTCTTAGTGAGGAACTAAATTAATGTGTTTACATTTTTACTATGATTTTGTAGATAATATGTAACCCAGGAATTCACATAAATACTCTATTTCATTACATACTTTACATACATTTTCTCAAAATTTTGTGATGGACCTGGATGAGTGATATATATGGGGGAGAGTCAGTAAGTACATAACAAATGGATATAAAACATAAAACATTTGATATTCAAGCCTGGGAAAAATATTCATTTCTCAACACATCCTCCACCAACACTGATGCACTTGTTCCATTGCTTTACCAGTGCATTGAAACCCACAGCAAATAAGTCTTTAAGGCTATTGTCTCAGCCACTTCTGCACCTCCATTTTAACCTCTTCATCATCAGCAAAACATCTGCCACCAAGGTGTCTTTTAGCGGACCAAACAGGTGAAAGTCTCTAGGGACCAAGTCCAGCCTGTAAGGCTGATGTTCAAGAACTTCCCACTGTAGTTCTTGAATTATCACCTGGGTTGCTTGGGCTGTATGGGGTCTGGCATTGTCATGAAGCAGTGCCCCTCTTGCCAGTTGGCCTGGATGTTTTATGCGAATTGCATTCCAAAGCTTCAACAGAACTTCACGGTACAATGCAGATTTCACATTTCACAATGCTTCTGAAAATGGGCTAACAGTACTCCCTGAGAATCCCAAAACACAGTAGGCATAATCTTCCCAGCTGATGGTGTGACCTTAAACTTTTTGGTTGAAGGTGAACTGGGGTGTTTCCATTGTATTGAAGCATGCTTTGATTCAGTTTGATAGTGATGCACCCATGATTTGTCCTCATTAACAAACTTCTTAAGAATATCCTCTCTTTCATCTGCAGACTCGTACCATGAGGGATGTTGCAAAGATGGACCCATTCATTTAACTTTTATTCAGTCCTTCAGTTCTCTGGGCACCCACCTTGCACACAATATCTGAAACTTTAAATGATCATACATTATGCTGTATACGAGTACTAAACCATGGGAACACCATTGTGCAGTTGCTACACTGTCTGTTGTTATCCTTCTGTCAGCTCAAATCAATTCTTCCACCCACTGTATCGTTTGCCTCTGTTGCAAACTCAACAGGACGACCTGATCAGGCATCATGTATGACTTTTGAACGTCCTTGAAAGAATTGTTCAACCCCGTTGTGAACCGCTTTACACAACAAATGCTTCCCACCATAAACAAGAACCATTCCTTATAAATATCGTTAACTAACATTAATTAATCTATTTTGGCAGATAAGTGCGGTGGATTTAAGCTGCATTGAGTCCTTTTGCCGAAAAAAAATGCACACCAGAACACTGCTCTTCTGTAGTATACTCCTCAAGAACAGGCACAATTTTTACTACTGAGATCAGCCTCTGAACATGCACATGCGAGTCTGCTACCTAGACTGTCATGAAGCTGGTCTCCGCTGCTACTTAGTGATACACATACAAAACCTATTATGTCCATCAAGCTGTTTTACTTCCGTTTGTGACCTATTTACTGACTCTCCCTCATACTAAGATTTATGTAAAGGGTTCATCAAGGAAAATATGACTGGCCAGTCAATAAGAGTTAATCCATTTTTTTTTGTTAAACTTGGAGACACCTATGTTTGGTTAAATGTTGACAAAGATAACATGTATTTTATATTATAAATCATGTATATATTAATTTTTCAGGATAGTTCAATCAGTTTAGTGACTGTGCCATATTCTAGATAACCACAGTTCTATTCCCAGCATGGACTCAATTTTTGTCATTTACTGCCAAGTGCAGACTGACCCTGGGGACATCCAGTGGGTACTGAATGCTCTTTTGTCAGGGGTAAAGCCCAGGAATGAATATGACAACTCCCTTCTGTCTAGTGCCAAGGTTAAGAATGTGTGGAACTGTACCTTCTCTCCTCCATATATCTTCATGATGTGCTGTTGGTTAAGCACAGAGACAGTTTCACCTTTCTCCTTCTCTTGATGTCCTGCATATTTGGCACAATACATTGTCTCATCTGTCACAGTCACATGGCTGCACATCCACAATGCATATCACATAAATTGTAACAGTGACAGAGAATGTTTCTCATCGGATGGATAAATACGTAATCCTCCTGCTCACTCTGTGTTGCCAGCTCACTGAGATTTTATACCTGCTTCTTCCATCCTTGTCGTTCTTTAATGACATCATTCCTTATTGATGTTTTCTTTCACACATAAGAATTTAATGTACAAAATATATGAGGGGGATTTCTTTTTTGTACAGTGAAAAATTAAGGTATGTGAATTGTATGATGAGATACAATATTTTATTAAAATAGAGATAGATGTTATCCTCCCTTGTACCTCATATACATTCTATTTTTTCAGAAACAGCTTGTCAATTCTTGCATGTCTGTAGCACAAAGACAGTTGAGTTGAGAGTATCAGACTATTTGTTTCCACACTGTTCAGTGTTACGCAAAATGTTATTTCTCATATGTACATGTTTCAGGTGATGAGGATGCTGTCTACAGTGCTCTGAAGAATGCATCTAAAGAAATAGGGCATTTCAGAGTATATCACAGGGAAGAAATTCTTGAACGTTGGCACTATAAGAATAATCGGCGTGCACCTCCCATCTTTGTTTTGGCAGATGAATCCTATGCTTTTGATGATATGTATCAGTATGTTGAAGATTATGAAAAGTTGACAAATAAAACAAGTAAGTTTCATTCTATTACCACATGCACTTACCTGATTGTTAGACTAATGATATTACTGTATTTACAGTTCAGTACACATTTCTTTGTTATATGTTGAAACTTACCATGGAAAGTAAGATGTAAATATTTTTTTTGTAGTGTGATTACAGAGGAGAAATGAGAGAAGGTTGCAGGAAGATGAAGAAATTTACACATTGTCACGTGTATGAGTGACTGTAGGCAGGGTTTGGATTGGTAATTTGGTTTATTGAACACATATATCGTAACTACAAGTAACTATAGTGCAGTTCACTGCAGAATGTACCAAGTCTTCACAGTCTGTTATGTCTTCACCCATGTGGACATTCCTGGGCTCATGTCCTTGCAGGCTGGTGGCCATCTCACACCAACCTCCTGCTATTCTAACTACCATCTTGAGACTCCCCTGTAATGGCAGCTGGTTCTCATAATATCCCTGGTGTGGACCACACAGAAACCACCGCTCTTCGTTGTTGTAGTTCACTTGTTGCCATGGGACCATGTTTGTTAATCTGTTAAGTCAGTAATGGCTGTTGTCTATTTGGTTATCTCATGGTCATTGTCCAGCAACAGGTCTATATGCCACAATATCAAAGAGTCATTATTTATTCTCTCACCAGATATTATTGAAATCATGGTATGGAGGAGAACAAGATAGCTGGGACATGTGGCATGTGTGAGAGGGAAGGGAAATTTATGAAAACTAATCAGTATGTTATTATATTGTCACATCTTAGTTATTAGACACATGGTTTGGATTGGTAATTAGATTTATTGAACTCTTACAACTCGTAACTGCAAATAAGTTTATCCTTATCGCCAATCTACACATTTCATGTCTTACTACAGCACACGCTAATTCTTCTCAGTTTTCTGTACCTTCACAAGCCTGTTGCTTGGCAGTGGCTCCCAACAATGACGTCTTTTGACTCTTTGAACAGTTCTCATGGCATCCACTGTCATCACTGACTACTCTCTAGCTTGTCTAGTTGTCCTTGTTGTATAATTTCATAATGGACCACATAGAAGATGCCACTCCCAGTAGTTCCTCTATTATTGCTTGCATAACCATGGCCACAATACATGTTTATTGAGCTGTCACTTGGCAGCACACAGCTTCTCTTGTTGAAATATTTTGTCATGTCACAGTATACTGTTATGTTAACGTTAATGTTAATGTTTGTTTATAGTTACAGATAATGTAACATTTGGTTTACATGGATATGACAATAATGAAATGAACATGCAGCCATATTTCATTGCGTTTGGACCACTGATTAAGAAGCAGTACAAGATTGATCCATTTGATAATGTGGATCTGTATTCCCTGTTCTGCTACATGCTGCATCTCAGTCCACCAGTCACAAATGGGACTCTTGACAATGTGAAGTGGTTGCTAGCAAGTGAACCAGATCCTTCGTTACCATACATACGTAAGTGACAGATGTAACTGATGTATTTGTAGATAATTTTACCATGTGGTTTCAGGTGCAGGTGTTATATAGTGTCAGTAAAGGTAAATCTATCCCTGTAACAGGCTGTGAAGGCCCATAGGGTTGTGAGATGTCAAGACGCCCACATTTTCTCTAGACATTCGGCTCACAGATGGCAGTAAGGTTGTCAGCCTTATGTGCCGGCTGCCCTTTACCCACCAGGAAGATTTCTGGTACTCATTTCTGTTAGAGGCTGAGTGGACCCCAGGGGCATAGTGCACCTGGAAGGATTAGGTTAATTGAAAAAATCCACCTCATCAGAATTTGAACCTGCAACCGTCTGGTTTGTAGCATAGTGCCTCTACCAACTATGCTACTTCTTGCCCCTGTATAGTGTTAGTAGGTTATTTAATAACACTGTCAGTATCAAAGAAAATGTAGTATTGATGGTAGGATGATTAATGAATGGTGAACAGTTGGTGGAATGAGAATTGGCAGGGGAAACTGAAGGACTCAGAGAAAACCACCCCCAGTGCCACATTGTTAGCGCCCGATGCTGTATGACCTGACCTTGCTTCACACCAGGACCATTGTAATAGGGAAGCCAGCTGTTGTGCTATGCAACAGCCTCATGCATGATTAGAAGGTCATTATGTGTGGTCCCTAGGTAAGGATTTGTAGGGTGGAGGTCATGGCTTCATTCAGTGTCATTCACATGGAGAGACTCAAAAAACACAGAAGACCTTCATCAGGCTTAACAGTAACCTGGTAAAGGCAAAGTTGTCACAGTTGTTCTTGTGCTTATTTAGTTAAGTACTGTACCATGAAGATATATGGAGGAGTGGAGGTATAGCTCCACGTTTCTTGACCTTGGCACTAGATGGAAGTGAGTGGTCAGCTTCACACCCTTGCCACTTTACACCCAGGAAAAATGTCCCCAGTACCCATTGATTAGGAGGCTGGGTGGGCCTTAGAGTCAGTGTAGATACTGTGGAGAAGATAGAAATCTTGCACAGCTGGGAATCAAACCTGGGTCATCTAACCTGGACAGTAACCTGGACAGAAATCAAACCAGGTATCTCACAAATACAAATCTGAAGACGTGGAACCAGTTTCCAGAATGTCTTATTTTAATTATACCCAAAATGATGAACAGCGTCCAACATACTATTTGTGTATAATGTCCTGGCCAGACAATATAGTAATTGTCATTAATATTCTACAGTTGGTGGGATTGTAGTGGCCGCGTTGTCCATCACCGCTCTTGCAATTCTGACCGTCTGCTTGTTGAGACACAGACAGAAGAAAACTGATCCACCGACTCAGTCATACAGGTATGATATAGAACACTGTAGCCATATATTGAAGTGATGCACTGCAGATCTGAACTGGTCTGCAATTTAATTGTCTGTGAGCATCATTGTCACATAAATGAAGTTAAAATTTTCTACATTTTCCAGAAAAACAAAATCCAAGTACATATGTGTGTATACATGCAGTGAGGAAAAGATTGTTACAAAAATTGTAAATCTAAGTAAAAATAAAAATAAATGTTCTTTGTTTTAACCTCAGATATTCCCTCATATTTTAATAACAAATCAGCAGTGCTTTCCCATTTGTGTTTTATTGAGAAAAAAAGTAATGCCGGTACATACACCGTTGTGTATATCACTGAAAAAGAAAGATGCCCCATACATACATAAATATGAAAAGCTGTAAACATGGATGCTTCCAGAATTATATCCAGAGGAAGGCAGCGATTTTGAGGCAGCAAAACTATATGCTTACACACTTATGTTCAAGCCATTTAAGATCATTCAGGATGGAAGATGATATTTTTTAAAAAAAAGCCTTCAGTTCTCAATATTAATATTTGGTTTATTTCCTTTTCTTAAATTATTAGTTTTTCCAAAAATCCAGGAGGGGTGCAGATGCTTGGTTTAGCTCCCTCCAGCACCCATGTATGTGGGGTGTCTCTTTGTTTCTTAACCTGTGCTGAATTCTCCAGTTTAATGTATATGGTCATCCTTCTTCATAAATTTAATTTTATATTACTTTAATTAAATTTTTTATTTTTTTTAGTAATGACATAACCACAGTCCTCTACCGGTGGCTCTTGTGCAGGTCATGAACCATGGGCTACTTATTTATTTCACAGGGCAATTGGCAAGTTGGATCCTGACAGAACACAGAGTGAAATGGAAGCCCAGCATCTGCTAGAAAACAATGACAGTGAAGATAAACAAGTATATATATATATATATATATATGTATAAATGTATCATGTGACATGAGGTATGCTGTTACATACTGAGAATGTTTCTGCATGCTTAAGAATTTGTGTGATACACTTAGTGCATTGTCATACATATTATGATGTTCATGTAATTCCAAAGTTAAATACACGTTGTGTGGTTTATGTAATTGCATTATAGGTTAATGAACAGTTGTGCAACAATTTCAGAAATTCATTTAGAATCAAAAGAGATATTATATTAAATTGAACCAGTTTAATATGGAATGCAGCTAACAGCCTAACAGTTGTCTGTACATGACTAGTTGGAAAAAGCTGTCCTTCAGCATGGTTTTGTATATGGTTAAGCTTGTTTCTGTATTTGTATATACAGGGTGTCCCAGGAGGAATGGACCAAACTTCGGGAGGGTGTTCCTTATGTTAAAGTATGCTGATATAACCCAAAACACCTATGTCCAAAGTTGAACGGTTACGGAGATAATGGCCAGAGAAGTGTCAAACTTTGACCGGCGTTGCACACTTGTTGATTACAAAATACGTATTAAAACTGGCAGGAATATGTGGATTCTGTAATGTTAATAATGTACGTAACATCAAACTAACTTGTGAGTGACATGAAGCCATAAAATTGAAGTACAAAATACAAAAAACCTCAAAACTTACAAAATACTCGCTCGCCATGTCATAATTGTCCTTAGGGTTTCCAAGCACTATACATGACACATGAATGGCAAGCGCTGACGTAACGTGGCTGACTGCGCGTTCTGATAAAGCCAACTACATAAGTATGGCTAGGGTGAATCACGGCACTCAGGGACAAACATAGATAAGGCCTCTCAGCTGAGAGGTACAGTGCGTGGACCTGCCAGAAGACCACACTTTTCTTGGGCCATTATCTCCGTAACCGTTCAACTTTGGACATAGGTGTTTTGGGTTATATCGACATACTTTAACATAAGGAACACCCTCCCGAAGTTTGGTCCATTCCTCCTGGGACACTCTGTATGATGGGTGTGTGATTCATATTTTAACAACAATTTGGAGCATTAGGTTCCTAATTTCAAATGGTGCGCTAATGGCCGATATTTTGACCAACTGCATGAATGCATTCATTTCTTTAATCAAATACCTGTTTAAAATTCTATAACAAACTTGTATTTATTTCCATCAACAGTTTTTCTGTAGTATATCTGTACAAGAGGTTATGTTGATGGACGTAAATGCTGTTGGTAATACAGCACAACATGGTGCTACAATACAGTATGTTAACAGAAGCCTTATAATTAAGGCATTACCATTTTATGTTGTTGCCTGTGATAAGGCAACGGTTTTTTGAGAAGTAAGGAAATAATTATAAATATGTGCAATATGTGATTTGTGATCATTGCATAAAATTAATTTTAAATCATACATTAATATGAAGAAGAGCTGGGATAGCACAGTTGATATAGTGACTGGCTACAGTCTGGATGACCGAGGGGTCAGAGTTTGAGTCTTGGTAGGGTCAAGAATTTTCACTCCTCCATGTTAGGAGACAGCATTCAAATTATGCTTGATGTCTGATCATTCAGGACAGCAGATTGTGATACTGACCACTTTCTTGTGCTGTCAAAAGTTAGGGAAAGACAGAGTTATTATAGAGAGATGCAGTCTCAAGAAATAAAATGAGGGAGAGGGTAAAGAGTGGTATTATTTTGAAGTCTCATATAAGTTCGCAGCTTTGGAAAACTTAGATACTGAGATAGACATTAATAGAGCTTGGGTAAACTATTAGAGAGAATATCAAAATTTCAGCCAAAGAGAGTCTAGGTTATTGTAACGTGTTTAGCCACTGAAGACACCGTTCGGATTGTTAATTGGTTTATTTAACAACCTACCAGTCTCGGCTACAATTAATTATAACACAGTTGCGGGGTTTCACACTTTATAACCCTATTCGCAATAATCAATTCGCTCTATTGTCAGTAGTATACACGTATTAATTACGATACAGGAGCTATACAAGTGTCCCTGTATCACACACTCCCAATTACACGATTACACACACGTCTTGTTCTTCTTTCCGCGACAGCTGCTATATTCAAACTCGCTTCTAACTGCTCACTGCTGGCTAGAGAACTGTCTTCGGCCGCTGCTAAACTTTAACTCTTTCACTGCTGACTGGAGAACTGTCTTCGGCCGCTGATATACTTTCAACTGACAACAACTGAACTCGGCGACGGCCACATTTCAACTGGCTCCGTAGGCAGTGCGGTTCACTTATATAGTCACAGCGCCCGCCTGTTACGCAGTGGGTACCGCTGTTGCCTATTACCCGTGTCACAGCTGCGTTGCATGTTACGTCACCATGCAGAGGGGGGTGACGGAGCACTGACTCACCCGCCACGTCACTGCTGGGTAGGGAGGTGTTGTCCTCCATTGCGCAACATGTCACATTATTATGAACCGAAGAAGCATAAGCCATGGTTCAATGAAGGATGCTCAGAATTATTAGACTAAAGGAAACAAGCCAAATTACAATGGTTACAGAATGCAGGTGATATAAATGGGGATAATAAGAACAATAGAAGACATGAAGCCATCAGGCATTTCTGCAATAAAAAGAATGAATATCTGAAAGACAAAATTGATGAGCTTGCAGTGAACAGTAAAACTNGGTTACGGAGATAATGGCCAGAGAAGTGTCAAACTTTGACCGGCGTTGCACACTTGTTGATTACAAAATACATATTAAAACTGGCAGGAATATGTGGATTCTGTAATGTTAATAATGTACGTAACATCAAACTAACTTGTGAGTGACATGAAGCCATAAAATTGAAGTACAAAATACAAAAAACCTCAAAACTTACAAAATACTCGCTCGCCATGTCATAATTGTCCTTAGGGTTTCCAAGCACTATACATGACACATGAATGGCAAGCGCTGACGTAACGTGGCTGACTGCGCGTTCTGATAAAGCCAACTACATAAGTATGGCTAGGGTGAATCACGGCACTCAGGGACAAACATAGATAAGGCCTCTCAGCTGAGAGGTACAGTGCGTGGACCTGCCAGAAGACCACACTTTTCTTGGGCCATTATCTCCGTAACCGTTCAACTTTGGACATAGGTGTTTTGGGTTATATCGACATACTTTAACATAAGGAACACCCTCCCGAAGTTTGGTCCATTCCTCCTGGGACACTCTGTATGATGGGTGTGTGATTCATATTTTAACAACAATTTGGAGCATTAGGTTCCTAATTTCAAATGGTGCGCTAATGGCCGATATTTTGACCAACTGCATGAATGCATTCATTTCTTTAATCAAATACCTGTTTAAAATTCTATAACAAACTTGTATTTATTTCCATCAACAGTTTTTCTGTAGTATATCTGTACAAGAGGTTATGTTGATGGACGTAAATGCTGTTGGTAATACAGCACAACATGGTGCTACAATACAGTATGTTAACAGAAGCCTTATAATTAAGGCATTACCATTTTATGTTGTTGCCTGTGATAAGGCAACGGTTTTTTGAGAAGTAAGGAAATAATTATAAATATGTGCAATATGTGATTTGTGATCATTGCATAAAATTAATTTTAAATCATACATTAATATGAAGAAGAGCTGGGATAGCACAGTTGATATAGTGACTGGCTACAGTCTGGATGACCGAGGGGTCAGAGTTTGAGTCTTGGTAGGGTCAAGAATTTTCACTCCTCCATGTTAGGAGACAGCATTCAAATTATGCTTGATGTCTGATCATTCAGGACAGCAGATTGTGATACTGACCACTTTCTTGTGCTGTCAAAAGTTAGGGAAAGACAGAGTTATTATAGAGAGATGCAGTCTCAAGAAATAAAATGAGGGAGAGGGTAAAGAGTGGTATTATTTTGAAGTCTCATATAAGTTCGCAGCTTTGGAAAACTTAGATACTGAGATAGACATTAATAGAGCTTGGGTAAACTATTAGAGAGAATATCAAAATTTCAGCCAAAGAGAGTCTAGGTTATTGTAACGTGTTTAGCCACTGAAGACACCGTTCGGATTGTTAATTGGTTTATTTAACAACCTACCAGTCTCGGCTACAATTAATTATAACACAGTTGCGGGGTTTCACACTTTATAACCCTATTCGCAATAATCAATTCGCTCTATTGTCAGTAGTATACACGTATTAATTACGATACAGGAGCTATACAAGTGTCCCTGTATCACACACTCCCAATTACACGATTACACACACGTCTTGTTCTTCTTTCCGCGACAGCTGCTATATTCAAACTCGCTTCTAACTGCTCACTGCTGGCTAGAGAACTGTCTTCGGCCGCTGCTAAACTTTAACTCTTTCACTGCTGACTGGAGAACTGTCTTCGGCCGCTGATATACTTTCAACTGACAACAACTGAACTCGGCGACGGCCACATTTCAACTGGCTCCGTAGGCAGTGCGGTTCACTTATATAGTCACAGCGCCCGCCTGTTACGCAGTGGGTACCGCTGTTGCCTATTACCCGTGTCACAGCTGCGTTGCATGTTACGTCACCATGCAGAGGGGGGTGACGGAGCACTGACTCACCCGCCACGTCACTGCTGGGTAGGGAGGTGTTGTCCTCCATTGCGCAACATGTCACATTATTATGAACCGAAGAAGCATAAGCCATGGTTCAATGAAGGATGCTCAGAATTATTAGACTAAAGGAAACAAGCCAAATTACAATGGTTACAGAATGCAGGTGATATAAATGGGGATAATAAGAACAATAGAAGACATGAAGCCATCAGGCATTTCTGCAATAAAAAGAATGAATATCTGAAAGACAAAATTGATGAGCTTGCAGTGAACAGTAAAACTAAGAACATTAGAGACCTGTACAGATGAATAAATGAATTTAAGAGGGGTTCCCAAGTTACACGTAAGTTAGTGAAGAATTAGAATGGTACAACAGTACTTGTTTTGACAAGTCTTATGTAGACCTAGGTGGTACATAACACAAAAATGTTTACAATAATTGTACTTCTTTGGCAAAGACAGAGTGGTCAGAATACATTCATTTTTAGGTCCTTGAAATTCACTGTTTGTACTGAAATGTCATGTTCCATATTCAATGAATAGTACCATAGACACATACAAAAAAAAAAACACACACACACTTCAAGTTGGTTCAGTAAAGTAAATGTCTGTCCTGTTTCATCATTTTGTAAGTTTTATAGAAGCAAGATAAAATGGTGGCATCTAAATATTGTGCTGTTCCATTGTTTGCGAAGTCTTGAAAGAAGTAAGACAAAACTGGAAGAGATTTTCAGCTTAAGAGTCTCTGTCAAATGTGTTTTCTTAGGGTATAATTACTTCTTTACTGTGATGAATTTCCAATACAGGGACTCAAAATAAATGCAAGTGTATGCATGCAACCCAAAGTTGGCTCATATCAATTTACAGTAGTTTAATTTCCATTTACAAAGGAAATATATAAGTGTCTAAGAATTAATGATATTAAGTTCATGGTCTTCTGGGATATGATGCTATGTCGTTTGGAAGAAAGATACCAATGTCTTGATGGAATCTATCATTTCCATCTGCAGGACAGAAGCTTCTACTGTCTACCCAGAAGACTGAAAGAGCAGGTTCCCCCCAAATGCTGGTACCCAGACTAAATAGTGTCACATCCCGCAAGACCATGCTGTTTAATATTCATCACTATGAGAACCTTGAATTTCATATGACTCGAAATTCAGATACTGAAGTTTGTATAAACAATTAAAAGATATCAACTTACATGGTTTCCAGTCTTGTTTACTGTTACCCTAAATTATCCCCAAAGAGGACCTCCGTACCCACATGTTCCTTGGGGGTTTATATTTCAGCACTTAAAAAAATCTCTTATTGACACTTTACAACCCAGCTGGGGACCCTCATGAGCCTAGCTTGGTTGCAGCCAAAGGTTGGAAACCATTCCTAAAGGAATGCACTTTTTACATTCAGGGTTGAATTTACTTTGTGTCCCAGCAGTTTAAATATATTTGTGTATTTAGTGAAATTTTTGTGCATATATTACAGTATTGAAGAAAAATAAATATATGTTCAAAGAGTTCCATAAATTGATGCACCTTATGTGGTTCTCCCAAAATTCCAGTTCCAATTTTACAGTATATTTAATAATAAATTATATGAGGGCCTAACAGTGTCATGTCCTAGTCCACAAGTGGGCATGTATGAGATAATATTAATATGCAGCTGATCTATTATTGGAGGTGGGGTAGGTCAATATAATGGTTAGTCTACAGGCTGAATGTCTGGGATTTGATTCCTGGCAGTCAGAGATTTCTGTCTTTACAACATCCAGCCTCCATCCAATGGTCACCAGGAGCTCTTCTTCCACAGGTAAAATGACCGATGTGTGAAGTGGGACACTCACCTCCATCTTGCCCCAAGGTTAATGTGTAGCACTGTCCCTCTGCTCCTATTGCATCTTTATGGCATGGTACTCAAAACACAGGGACAGCCTTAGCTTTACGTTACTCTCTGGTATTATTTATTTATAAGTGAGCTGAGCTGACATTTCTTGGTACTATGGCATAAATTGCTGACATTTTTATACACTTTGCAGATGCTGTCTGGTCTGCAGGCATTCACTTGGACACCCTTGACTGGTAACAGATATAACTGTCAGTGTTGGGTCTGCACTGAGCAGATAACTGTATGAATATGATAGCAGACCATCACATGCTAGGACTTAAATTGATGTATTGCTGGGACTAAAAGTTTACAGCCTAGTTGTGTTACTGATATGTATGTGAACTATAATGAAAGTATGTGAAAATAATTGATGTCGAAGGAGGATCACTTTTAAGAGGTCCAGTAAAAAGTATATAAATGTTTGTATATTGGTTGTTTGGTCTTTATACATTCCAATTGGGAAAGAAGGTCATGTCTTTTGAGATTCTATCAGTAAGGTTTCTTTGGGAGAAATGTAAGAAATGAGGCATACAGTCCAATAGTGCAACATTGTGTGGTACAAGGGCACTTCATAGTTTTGGGTTAAAACACTGAACTTTCTCATTCAGAGAGTTCTGAATAAAAGCTGTTTGCAGTTTTTTCTGCTCATAGACCGAAACATTCACATCTTCGGAAAAGAGAATTTTGGGAATTTGAAGAATACCAAGCAGCGTCTGGTTCAGAACCCACATTAAATTGTAGGTCCCCTCTTCTGACCATCACTGTCTTGACTACCCTATCAGTAGGGATAACAGAATCTGCCCCATGGGTGCCTCCACATCAGAAATGAATTCTACATATATGCCTAGGTGGGCAGAGGTTAGAAGCTCCAGACAAACAACCACCTCCATATGGTACAGTTTCCACAAGTGAGTCCCTGACAGCTGGGTCAAGGCAGTACAACAATTGCCATTTTAATACTTATGGTCTCATAGTAAAAATTCAGTCACAAAATGTATGCAAAATTACAGAACTAATTGGCCACAACATAGAAGAAGAATGGAAAATAGTAACAAAATTGATAACAGCATTGAAGGCTAGGGAGAGGACAAGTTTGGCAAGATCACTGAAGAGATGACAGGAAACCATAACAGACCAAATGGAACAGGATAATTATAACCTTTATATTTAGAGGTCAGATGTTGGAATTAGGTTTAGTTACTTCATAACCAGTTCATGTTTCACTATACCACTTTTTTCAATGACCTTGAGACTGAAGAGTGAAATGTTAAACCAAACAGAAAATATTTCCATTTGTTCTGGCATTGCAACATCAGAAGTCATCATTCTCTGATTACAAACTCTAGTCCAAGCAGCAGATAAGCACATGAGCTCAGCTGGCAGTTCTGAGCAGTGAGTTCTGCACAATGTCTGCAATGTGGATATTAAGGCTTGCTTTTGTATTGCTTAAAATCTTCAAACTAGCTGATGCATTATCAAGACATCCATTACTTTTGGTCATTTCGTTTGATGGGTTTCGTCATGATTACTTTACTAAACTTGCAACACCAGGTTTAAATAGGTTCAAATCAGGTGGTACACATGCACCATATGTACGTAATGTGTTTCCAACAAAAACATTCCCAAATCATCATTCCATTGCTACAGGCTTATTTCCAGAATCTCATGGAGTTCTTGGAAATGAAGTGTTTGATCCCATTCTGAAGAAGGTCCTGCAATTTGGTCCAGAAGTATATAACACCCAAGGTATTACACCCATCTGGGTAAGTGAATGACACTGTATATATATTAGGCATTCACAGCTTTTTGCATTTTCAATATGTCATACAAAGTGATTTACTGAATTGAGAGTTTTGGCCTTAAATGATCTTTCATTTAGAGGCTGCTCTTGCAAATAATTAAAAGTCCACACTATCTTCATTATATATTTAGAAAGTAATTCATTTACTTTCATAAAATTAATTAATTTTATGTTCTGAAATTTCTGTTATTAGATAAGATACACAGTTTTGCCACACGCATACAATTAAAAAATCTTTTAAATAAATGTTGTAGCTCTAATTATATATCTGTTCTAGTTTTTGTATGATGAGTCAGTTTTTGGTACATTCTGTCAAGCAAACTTTAATCAGAATCCATTGACTAGTTCTGGAGATGACGTGGATAGATAAATGTGACCTCACTGTTGTTCATTCACTTGGTCCACTTTCTGCAAAGAATGTATAAAAATGAGCTAGTATTAGAAGCCATTTATCTTGTAAATCTTTTGCAGTATTTGTAGATGGAGATGTGAATAAACACATGATTATTTGTTTCACTACAACAAAGTAATCTAGTCATAAAAATGTCAAATATATTACAGTTTCAGTTGGACTGAATTAAACAAGTAGCACTAACTGTTTGTGGTTGATTCCAGCATAAGTATCAGAGTATAAGACAGGGAACTGTGTTTTGGGGGCATAACCGAAGTATGTAAGTAGATGTGTAACCATCCATAATAACAAGTCTCCATTTTGATTTCCTGTGTTTCTCACAGACTCTAAACCAGTTGGCTGCACAGGATCGTTACAGTGGTGTCATGATGTGGCCAGGCGGTGGCTTCACTTACCGTGGCATTGTGCCTAAGTTCCACTGTGCATGGAACATGAGTATACCATGGAAGACAAGAGTGGATGTAGCCATAGACTGGTGTGTATGCATGTCTTTACTGACACATCTCTTTAGTCTTCTTTCCTGCTTGTACAAACTGCATATAGGTCTGCTAGACTGTCTCTACTGAAACTGTTTCCATATGTCTTTAAAGTTACTGAGGGCTCACTGTAATGTAACAACTCATTACATCCCCCACAGCAATAGTCCTTTAGGACTAACTTGCAGAATTACAGTCTGGTACAGTACTGCATACTTTTGCCAGGATATGCTTATTTATCAACTAGTTATTGGTTCCATCCAAGATTTTAGTATCCCTTGGCAGTGAATGTGAAAATTTCTGTCTTTAGGGTGTGATGCCATATAGTCTGCTAGATCATTACTGACACTTCAGAGGAATGTGCTGCATTCACCTTTGCCTCATTTATAAGGAATAAAGCTTTAATTTTTCAGACACTGTTCATCTGTTACTAGAGACTGATGTTCAAGTTTTACAAGGGAGAGACTCAAATGATTATGAAACATAAAATATGTGATATTCAAACCGGGAGAAAGCATTTATTTTTCAACATATCCTCCACCAACATGGGTATACTTGTCCCATTGCTTTACCAGTGCATCGAAACCTGCAAGCATGGAAGTCTTTTGATACCTTTCTTTCAACCTCTTCATCATCAGCGAAATGTTTGTCACCAAGGTGGTTTTTTAGCAGATCAAACAGATCAGAATTACTAACAAATATTAAAATATGCTGTGTTTGCAGGTTCAAACATTCTAGTACCCCATCTAATCTGGTTATGCTGTACTTTGAGGAGCCAGACTCTACCGCACACACGTTTGGTCCGGAATCTACTCAAGTGCTCAGCTACATTCAGAAAGTAGGAATGCTAGTTCTTGAAATTACATTTTTTTTACTACTGCTTTTATAAATATTCCCCTCATTTCAGGTTATAATGTTGTTGTACCCTGAAAGTAAAAATGGCTCATGAACAGGGGTGGAAGTGGCTATTCATAACTTAGTAGGTGCCTCAGATCACTAGAAAAGCCTGGGAGGAATGACCAACACATATATAAATAAAATTATTACATGGTAGGCTTGTCACTTTGTTCCTACATTTATTGCTATTAACAGTGATAATCACAATGTCTTCAGAGACTGAGAATAACTTCCTAAAAATGAAACTGTCTGCAACTAGGTAGAAAGCATCTATCCCCATTTCCAGCCCTGTTTATGAAGCAGATGTTCATATATAGGTATACCTGATTATCTTGTCCAATCAGAGTGTAACCAACAGAGTAATTTTCATTCAATTTTGCAAGAAGGTCATGCCACCATTATGGATTATGAAATTTTGTTGCATCTGATGTAGTTGAACATAGTAAAATTGAATGCTCTCTGCCAAGATTAGTATGCCAATTAAGCCAACTCTCTGGTATTGTAACTACTACCACCAAAGCTCACCAATAGACATGATCCTGAGTCAGTTCCACTAACCTCCTGTCTTCACATCTTAAATCCCTAAGATCTGTCTTCATCTTACCCTCATATTTCTTTCTTAGTCTTCCTAGGGGTTGTTTTCTAAAAGGAGTTCTCATCTAAATTCTGTATGCATTCCTTGTCATCCATATCCTAACTCCATGTCATGTAATATCCTAAAATTTCCATTTACACTGAGTACCCCATTTGAGGCATCTTTTGGGATCAGTTAAGTGTTCAACACTTAACTGAGGAAGCTCTTGAACAAAGGTATTTAATACTGAGATTATTAAGTTTGTATCATTGAAATTAAATGCTAACTGAGGGAAATCCTTAAATTGAAGAGCATTAAATGGGTAGTTCACTAAACTTCATTCTTCTTAGGTCCAAATAATTTTCTGAACACTTCTTATTTCAGACCATTGTAATTTATGTACACCCTCAAATTAAAGAGGCCACTTTATAATTTACAAAAAATGGAACCTTATGCACATGTTTGTATTTAAATTGTAATGAAAAAAAAAGTTGTTTATAACTATATCCAAGGAAGATGATTTAAGCAGTAACACTTCCATATTGGGAGACGCCCAGTGTGGATCTCAGACGAGACAGTGAGCATCCTGATTGAAGTTTCTTCAGTCCTTCCAGGCAAATGCCAGGACATTGCCTTAAACCAGACCACAGATCCTTCATTTCACAACATTTCTAGTTCAATATTCATTACTATCCTCTCACTCAGTGCTATATATTACCTCTGTTACTGAAAGTGTTATTAAATAAACCATAAACAAATAAAACTTCTTCAGTATCATAGTTCCTAACTCACAAAGCTGAAGGTGGCTCAGTTATACTGAAATATGTCTTTCAATATTTGGGTTTATGAAGTTTATATTTTTAAATTTTAGCTTTTGAAACCCAAAGTTAACTCACTCCAGAAGCCAGTGGTTGCTCATCTAGTCAAATTCCCCACTGTTTAAGGATCCTGAAGGTTTGTAGCTGTGCTCACAAGTTTTCAGTCAATATGAATCAAATCCACACCCTCTGGCCATATTTTTGTTAGATCCATTTTCATGTCATCTTTCCCTTTATGTGTAGGTCTTTCAAGCGGTCTTCGGGTTTTTCCACAAAAACTTTCTATATATTTCTCTCCCTCTTCCTCCTCCCTTCCTGCATGCCTTGTCCAGCCTGTAGCCCTTCCCTATACTGGCTCAGCTATCCCAGCTCTTGATATATGGTGAGGAGCACAAACTGTGAAGCTCCTCAGTGTGAAATTTTTGCAAGCCTCCTATTACTCCCTCTTGGGTCCAAATATTCTCAACATCCTTTTCCCAGACATCCTCAGTGTCTGTCCTTAATGACATTAAAAATCAGATTCTGCTGCATAAGATTCACACTGCATTTCTGCTACAAAACCAAATAGTTTATACTGTTTAGGGGAACAATTGCTAATTATTCTAAGAAACATACAAAAGACATAAAGACAGTGAACAGGTGGTACTTGTACAGTGTAACTGCTCTGTAAGGGTCAGTAGGAATATAGTTACCTTAAAGTGACAGAACTTAACACATTGCGGACTGGACAGGCCATATGGCCCTCTACGTTTCCAAGCGTTGCGGACCGGGCGGGCCATATGGCCCTCTACGGTCACGTTATGTTGAAAAACGCTATATATCGCTGTGTGGCTTCTTTGAATCATAACTACTGCGTAGATGACCTCGGGAATGATTGCTGCCTTATCTAGTAACTCGACCAGAGTCATTTCCTGTCACAGCCTAAACAAAATTGGCTTTGTTCTAATCCAAGCTTGCACGTATCAACCATGCAGCTACCAGTTCATCATGGCTCAGAGACGAAAACAGTTGCGATCTCTCGGAGGACAGGAAATATTAGATATGTTCTCCGATGAGCTATCAGATTTGCCAACTGCTTCGTCTTCTGATAGTGAGGCCATTATCAGTGACAGTGACAGTGGCGGGGGTCACAGGGCTGCCCAAAATGTGTCAAGTGAAAGTGAGAGCTCCGTTGAAAGTGCGAGTGTCAGGACAGCTACATGGGATAAAGTGGACAAAACCCCCACTTTGTGAAAGTTTACTGGTGATCCAGGGGTGAAGCAGATGCCATCAGACCCAACAGACGTGTCTGAAGTTGCGTCACTGTTTTTTGGAGATAGTTTCTTTGACGGAAGGGGGACATTCTTCTTCAGTCCTGGAGGGATACTCGCGTTGTGAATATGGTTTCAACTATTCACAATTCGAGCATGGTCGATGTTCAAAGACGACACAGGCAAGTAAAGAAGCCTCTTTGTATTTCCGAGTATAATATGTTCATGAAAGGAGTTGATAGGGCCGACCAGTTCTTGGCCTATTATTCCCTTCCTGGGAAAACAGTAAAATGGACGAAGAAAGTTGCACTGTGGCTTATAAACTGTGCAATTTTCAATTCATTTACGGTTTTCAAAAAGGTGAACAGAAATTCTACTTTGAAATACAAAGCATTTCTGTTGAAACTGGCAAAAGCTTGGGCTACTGACATCACGGTGGCGGCAGTACCTGCGACAGACACAGATGTAGTGCAGCCGGGGCCATCTGTTCGCACCCGCCAGAGGCCTCAAGTAGACCCCCCTGGCCGACTCTCGGGTGATATGCGGAAACATATTCTCGTGAAAATTGTGAAGAGTGAATATTGCAAGAAGAAACACCCTTCTAGGCAGTGCCGTGTGCGTGCAGAGCACAAGAAGAAGAGTAGAACTGTCCACATGTGCAAATTCTGCATAATGCCTCTTCACAAAGGGGAATGTTTCCAGAGATATCACATGCGCAAGCACTTCTAGGAGCTCTGGTAAGTGTTCTCCAAAAATTTCAGTTCATAAAATTAATTAGGAGATTTTATATTAATTTTTAAAGTGAACAGTGCACAAGTTAGGGTAGTAGGTTTAAAAACGCCGGTCCCCAGGGTGATTTAAATGTTTAATCCACCGGTCCGCAATGTGTTAAGTGATTCCTGCTACAAGCACAGTGATGACGATACTTTTATATTTACATTGGTGCTGGAGACCACCAAGCCTTCAATCCAGATACATGTTCCAATGGATTAAATACAGCAAATATTTAATATCATTCACGAGCTGTCACATTTACAGATTTCTGTGTGACATTTGAGGCTCTCAGATTGGTAAATTATTAAGACTACCATCTTCTGTTATGTGATGCCATGTAGTTTGGTAGGTAAGTACAAAGATCTCAGTTGAAACCTGTTACCTTTGTTTTCAGGATAGATGGATCAAAACTTCCATGAAAACCCCAAATTCCTCTTTTAGGAGCCAGCTCTGCACAACATACACCACTCTTCAACCCTGAAGATGGAGGCATAAGGTTCCTGTGAAACGTTGGTACCTATATACCAAATTGCTTGGGGTAACATCCAGAAAGACTGCAGTTCTAACAAGTTCTTTGTTGCTCACCCCTCCTCCCATATCATGAAAAGTATTTTGATTTGATTTGTGCTCAAGATGATATTTCTTGTGACTGTAGGTAGACAATATCACAACATATCTTCAAGACTGTCTCACAAACAAGAATCTTATTGACAAAGTTAACGTGGTGCTTCTGAGTGACCACGGCATGGCAACAGTCACTCCTCACAGAATCTTCAATCTCACGCAATATGTAAACAAAGCATTCTTCAAAATAGTGGACTCATCTCCAGTGTTGCAGATCCATCCATCTAAAGGTATTTTTATATATGTCTGTAGCATAGATGGACTCCAGATGTTTAAATTAATGTAACAAAGTAGATAATGAAAAGTTCAGTCCAGTGTGACGTTATCTACTCTGTAATTAATAGTGTGACGGACCAAAATGAGACAAGTTAACGTAACAAAACTAATGAAGATAAAGGAATTCACACACAGTCTGAGCTATTCATTTTAATTACTACTGTTTTAAAATTCTTAATCTCATTAGTTTCCCTGTGTTATTTTAGCCAGATAGGAAAGCTTAAGAGCCCACAATTCCTCCCCCCTTATACAGGAAAGTTCTTTGTTGACCGGTTCACAGTGTTGCACTTCACAGCAACCAATGCATCACTGGCTATGAGGCAGATACAAATTTTGCCTGTTGGCCAATAATGTTCAGAAGGAAGTAGTTACAATTCACAGATCACAGGAAGTGTTGAAAATGCTATTCCTCTACATGCAGACAATCCTTGCACTGGCAGAAGTAGTTCTGATTTATCCTTTGACGCTGTTCTGCAGATAGAACGTGTATTCAATAAATTCTCTTACTACTATATGAAAATTGTGTTAGGTGATTTCAATGTGAAAGTAGGTAGGGAAGACATTTTCAAACCAAATATTAGGAATGAGAGTTTGCATGAAATTAGTAATGATAATGGAGTTAGAGTAGTAAACGTTGCCACATCCAAAAATCTGACTGTTCCCACATTGTAACATTCTCTAAATTTACTTGGGCATCTCCTGATGGAAAGATTCACAATCAAGTTGACCATAGTTTGATAGATAAGATAGCATTCAAGTGTACTTGATGTCCACTCATTCAGGGCAGCCTTTTGTGATACTGATCACTATCTGATGATGGCAAAATTTTGGGAGAGGCTGGCAGTGAGTAAACACACAATGTATAGAGTTCACAAGGAGATGTTCAGTCTCAAGAAATTAAACAAGGTAGAGGGTAAAGAAGAATATTGTGTTGAGAGCTCATACGTTCACAGCTTTGGAAAACTTAGACACTGCAATGGATATTAATACAGCTTTGGGAACTATTAGAGAGAATATCAAAATTTCAGCCAAGGAGAATCTAGGTTTATTATGAATTGAAGAAGCATAATGGTTTGAATTATTAGATCAAAGGATAGAAGCCAAATTGCAGTGGTAACAGGATCTGCTTGTTTGAATGCGTACAGCACATAACACACGCATAGAGTATAACTGAAAAAGAAAAGTACTGTGGCATTGCTTGGAAACTCAATTTGCTTTTAATATAGCATAATAAGGCTGCATCTGTAGTTTCTTTTCTTTTGCTAGATCTTAGTTGTGCCCATAACTAGTGTACCTCAATTTATATACACAATGCAAAACTCCAAACTGCCACCTAAGGCAGTGATGCTGATTCTCAACAGAAGCAATGAACAGATGACACAATTATCAGTGTCACATTTTTGAGTACTGTTCTCAGTCAGACTCTTTTTCTGTGCAGATATGAAATTTATATCTTTTGAACTCACATTCTGTGAATCTGACATATAACGAGAATTGCCATGAAAAACAAACAGAATGAACTAAAAATGAAGATAGTGTAAAATATTTGTTGGTGACATTTTGAAGAGGAAGAAGATAATTCATGTGGATTTATATGCATATGTATTTCAGGAAAGGAGACAGTAGTGTACAATGCGCTGAAGACTGCATCACAGACAGCCAATTTTTCCATCTATCGGTTCAGTGAACTTCCTCAGCGATGGCATTATGGACAGAGCCCACGCACTCCTCCCCTCTTGGCAGTTGCTGATATTGGTTATGCATTCCAAGATCTGATCGAGTGGTATGAGGAGTGGTTCCAACAAAAATTCAATAGAACATGTAAGAATATGCAAAACTGTAACCTGCACCCATTGACATATTAAAGGTTATGGGACATCTCCTCTTTCAGGTGATGTTAGATGTTTGATGGGTGTGAGACTTTGCTACAGCATAGTCAGGGAAAGAGCTGTCAAGGATTATCCCTTACTCCATATATCCCTACTCTTCCAGTCCTTGAGCTGGGTTACTTGTTGTACAGTGTTAGATAAGGGGTGTCAGTGGGCACACTAGGATCATAGAGTGGCGAGCAGGTCCTCCCCTCCTAGAAACTCCTATCTCAGATACTCATGAGAATTCTTTGGCTGGCTCAAGTGTAGTTGAAGTAGTCTATTTGTTGGCAAGAGATGTAATATATGAGTATATATGAGGAAGTTCTGTCAGAATGTTGCAGATTTGAGATTGAGATTCTCATGGGAGTGACTGAAAATTATGTCTCCTGGGATGTGATATGGAGTATTCTTGCAGATCATTACCAACCTTTCAGAGGAACTTGCTGAATGAGTCATGATGTAACAAAACACAGAAGACTATACTCTGAATTTAAACATCTGTTACTAAAATGTTTTAATTGACCTTTTCTGTATTTTAGAGGTTAATTGTTGTGAAAAAAAAATAAAAACTGTGTCACATATGAGTAATTTTCTTTTATAAAAGAGTGTACTTCCGACACCAACTGTATGTTACATTTTTCCAGTGACATCCACTGCCACACTGGGTCTGCATGGTTATGACAACATGGAACCTTGTATGCATCCATTCTTCATAGCAAGTGGGCCATTGGTGAAGAGTGGACACAGTATACAGCCATTTGATACAGTGGACTATTATCCGCTGTTCAGTACCATACTGGGTGTTACGCCTGAAAGTAACAATGGAACTTTTGCTAATGTGAGGGATGTTCTAAAGAATCCTCCTGCAAGTACATAGAAGAATTTTATCTTGTCTCAAAATAATACAACAATGTTACTAATATTATTGTTAAATTACTGTTTGCTGTGAAATGCAAGCGTACATTTAAGACTGCTGTTTATGGAAGTACTAAAGATGAATGGTCTTTGACCTTATATGATGAGGTGTAGATATTGGTCTGTTTTGCTGTATATTTCAAAACTAAATTGTATACAAATTGTAAGTTCCTGTGGACTGTTTTTTCATCACTGTTAAACCTGTAGAGTGCAGTATTACTTTATTGTCCATGTTCATATGATATAATTTCCTTGCCTTTGCCATGCCCTTTAAACATGATGCAGGACAAAGATTTCCAGGTAGTAATGTCTAAATCCCAGACCTTGAAGTCTCAGTGTCACTAATGTGAAACTCCCCATGCCACTTCTTCTAAGTTTAATTTAGAAAACATTACTTTCTTTCTGTATTTCCATGGTAACTTGCAGTCTCCAGTGATACAGAGCCATAAGCTGTTAGAGTGAATTGTTAAGGGTTAGCAGAAGAGTTTTGCTTCGCTTGTATTGTCAAATACTGAAGCTATTTAGAAAACTATAAACTGATGATTAATGTGTAATCTCTCACAATATAAAAAAGATTAAGGAAGTACCTGGGGAGCTGGGATGGCGTACTTGGTAAAGCAACTGGCTACATTCTGGATGACGGGTTGGAGTTATAGTCCTGGTAGGATCAAGAATTTTCTCTTATCCACCTAGTCCAGATTGGTTCTGGGCTCCACCCATTGTGAAATGTGAAGATTAATCACAACTCCATAATTCATTTACATAACATTCATTTTAATATTTTCTTACCATCAGTGTCACGTTCTGAGCTTCTTTTAGTTCTATGCAGAGTAACAAAAAATGCCTTGTTTGAATGTCATATATGTTCATCGGTGACCTAGTATTAGGGGTAACACTATTGGAAAGGTTTGATATGAAAGCAGTTCTTAAAAATTGTCAGGCATTTCTTATTTTCACCAGTGTTAATCCACAGCAAATTCTGCTGTACATAATGCCATAAGTGGACTTTGCCATGTATGCCATAAACCATTTCACAAAGTTTGTTGAAATTTAATATGGTATTGTGCATTATTATACTGCCGAAATAGCTGCATGATGTTAGGGGTGGCATGGGAGGGCTCCAACGCTTCCATAATCTCATCCCCAGTACCTCCTGCCCTACCCTATAAAATGAATTCTTCAGAGGAACGGTTTGCACAGCCCAATAAGCGAGATAATAAGAAATTAAGATGCTACATTTTTAACTACACTTCGTAGCTTTCCACGAGGTTTTAGTCTCGAGTGTTCAGGTTTTACTCCACAGATGGCGCTGCAGTTTTTATTTCATATTTTCTTGTTAACTCGCGCCGAATTAACTTGGTTTCAACTGATTAAACAGCTGCTTTGTAACCGTACGTCCCTCACTAAAATTATTTAATTGGGTTATAATTTAACATGGTTTATGATAGACGGCTATCTCTCGTTATTTTTGTTTTATTTTATTGCCTCTGTGGGACTCGAATGAAAGAGAGTCAATGAGTGATAGGAAACAGTGGTGTACAGTAGTTGAAAAGAGCCGCAGAAGAGGTAGTGGTATTACCGTCGGTGATCGGGAGCGGCGAGGTAGAGTAGAAGAAAGAAGCCGCTGAACAGAATTGGATTACAGTCTGTGATATGTGGACTGTAGTTGCAAGAAAATGCTGAAGAAAGAATTAGGAGACAGTCGGGGTTAACAAGTGCGCACGGTCGGTAAACTGGAAGAGAATTAGTGTGACCAGTGCCAAAAAAAAGAAGTTAAGAAAGACAGAGCGGCAATCTTGAAGGACTTGTGTAAAGAGAGACAATAAGTGTAAGCAATTTTAACATAAAGAGTAATACACGGTGTGGGTTCTGGAGACCCTGTAAATCATAACCCCTAAATGTGTTCCCCTTCCGGTATCCAAGCCCCCGTATCCCTGGGACAAAGGTTTCATCTCGCGCAATAGTCGTGGCGGATGTACATCGGAAGCCGACTACAGTAAGAATTGGCGCTTCCAACCTGGGGCACGTAACAGCGGAAGAGACTAGGAGTCTGCAAGCGAGACATCACGGAAAAATCGATGGAGAAGAGCAACTTCGTGGACTGAAAAAGTGAACAAATGTATCGTGCACGGTTAGTGGGACTAAGTTATATTAACAATAAGTGTGAACGAGTTGCGGACAGTAAAACATGGAAACCCGTAGTAAACTTAAAAGTCAGAAGACAATCATAGATAACGAAAAAGAAATTGAAGTGACGGAAGGTATCAGTGACACAGAGAACGGGGGAGAAATAGAGGGAGGAGTAAACGTGATGAGTGGACAAATAGTAGAGACAGAACCCGAGTTACAGACTCGAAACCAACAGACGAAAAGAGTAGAAAGGGGGGAGAAGGATAGCACAATAGACATACAGGCTATGTTGTTAACCTTTATGGAAGAATTGGAGAACAGAGTAATGAAAATGGAAAATGACACAAGAGAAAACGGGAGTAAAATGGAAAATAATATAAAAGAAAAAGGTGAAATGGAAAATAATATTAAAGAAGACGTGCGTGAAATGCTGGCTGCATTCACAAGGGACTCGGAATGTAAAATGAACCAACGGATAGAGTCCGTGAATAACGGAGTTAAAATCGTATCTGAGCGCACACACGGCGCTTTTGGGAACATGACTTCGAGAAGATAAGCACTAGTTCCTTTTCGGATTAATGATGACGAGTTGGAAAATAATTTTCTTATTTGCACTCAGCTGGTCAGTCCGGGTTTGTTGGGAGCTGATTTTTTTGTGTGCTTATAAATTTTCGATTGATTTTTGAGCAAGCTGCATGGCACGGACTATACCAGGCGAAGAACTGAGGATAATTAAATACTCATTCGTGCAAAACTATGAGCCTTTTTGTGGCTTATTTTACCAATCCTATATGCTGGTGATTGTAGAGCAATTGGTGGAACGAAGATTGGCAAGGGAAATCGAAGTACTTGGAGAAAATCTGTCCTAGCGCCATTTTGTGTCCACCACAAATACCACGTGACAAGGCCTGGGAAGCTAGCGCAGGAGTTGTGTAGTTCAGAATAAGTGACAAAGAGTTCTGTGAGAACAATGCAATGAGGTCGCGGGTGCCATGAAATTGTAATTTCTTCAGTCACTGAGCAGCTGTTCGCAGAGAGTCGGCACAATGAACTTGCTCCTGATGTATGCCATCAGTGTAAAATTTTGTGCCAAACAGTGAAGCTACTTCAAGACTAAGATCTGGTCAAGAGCGTCTGAATGGGCTCTAAATTAAGAGAAACTGACTGGCCAACCGTCAGTCGTAAAATTACTTTGAAACGAAGCAAGTAGTAAAGAGAAATTTTGTAAAGGTAGAAACGAAGCGGTAGGATATGTTGAAGACGAAGGCAATTGGATGTCATAACCATGGCGGTCCTTTGGTAAGGCACTGGCGTATAGTTTAAAAGATACGTGGTTCGAAGACATGACTATTTTTGTAAGAAAAAATCTTAAGAAATTTGTGCATGTAGGAAGCAAGTCGTACTATACGAGGAAAGTGAAGGTAACAAATTTGTATAGATCTGGTGGTACGTGGGTAAGACATTGGCATAATATTGGGAAGGTACGGGGTTCGAGACCACGGTGTCTTTTGTCAATAGAAATTGAAAAGTGAATAAATAAATACGATTTTTCTGCAGCTATAAACCAAGTCGCAGTATACGAGAGGATCGCAGAAAGCCGTAGCCTAGATGTCTGGTGGTCTAGAGATAAGGCACCGGCGTTGTAAATTAAAGGACCGTGGTTCAAGACCACAAGGATTTTTGTAATGACATTTTTATGGAATTATATAGCGAGATATAACATAAGAGGAAGATTAAAGGTAAACACTTTACGTGACATTGGTGGCCTATTGCTAAAGTACTGGCCTAATGTGCAGGAATTCCGAGGTTCGGAACCAAGGAAAGTTTTATACAATACAAGTGGAGTTAATAAGATTTTTCTGGAAATATATAGCGAGATGTAACATAGGAAGATTAAAGGCTCATGCTCAATAATATATCAAGCTCTCTCATAACTTGTGTTTTATGAGAGAGCTTGATATATTATTGAGCGTGAGCCTGAATAAGATACAGGATCAATTAAGTGAGAAGACGAATGTGATTGCATGTAATTATACAGCTGTGTTCGTACACCTGATGATGACCTCTTGAGGTCGAAACATGTAGTGTAATAATAATAAAAATATGTTGTGTGGTCGATAAAATTGACTCTAATATTAACCTTTGGGTTCCATAAAATGCTGGAAAATTCTTGAGTAGCTGCAGAATTGGCGGCTCCTCCAGAACGGCTCAGCTCCATGAGTAAGCAAGTAAGTAAGTACTGGAACAATACTTGGAACATAATTCAAAATGGAACTTAAATAACACTGAAATCAAGATAACTATTGGGGATCATCAGTGTTGGTTTCAATGTAACAGACCAACTACTGATCAGATCTTTTGCATTCGTCAGATACTGGAGAAAAAACATAATGCACATTCGTGCGCTTTTCTGTTAATAATATATTATTTTCACGAATTTTCTAACTTAACTAATGCCACCGTAAATATTACAGACTTCCATAACTTTTAGATCTTTTTTAATAAATAAATTTAGACAAAACATGTCAAGAACAACTTCTCAAACTTGACCTCATACAATCTCCACATTTCAAAATTGCTACCATCGCCTAAGATCGCCTAACATGTACAATTTTCCTATTGGTTGAGGGCGGTTGAGAGGGCTGAGAGTACAGATTCTCCCACGGATTAATAAATAGCTACAAGCAAGGCTACAATCAGGGATTACGAGTATGCTACAATTATGCGTACACTACGCTTATTCCTCACTTCTAATTGCAAGTTTTATGAGGTTTGTTTTACCGAAATTTAAAACAGTTTCACCAGCAATAAGCCACTTGCTCACGAGACTAAACCAACCCTTGATAATTTCACAAAACTGCCTTCTTCTGTTCTGGACACATACTCACGGATCGCATCATCACCACGGACTGCAGAATTTTTATATTGCTTGTATCTATGGTCAGTATGTGTAATGGCAGTTTTGTATATCTTTGTGTGTACGAAGATTTGAGTGTCTTAATATCGGTATTTTTAATCAATATTTCATGGTGCACAATATTTTATACTATGAGTTATTTGTGACATATTTTAATTAATGTTTGTTTTGCCTTTGCTGAAAAGGACCATGTTTAGTACATGCTTGGCGTGAAAAGTGCAAGCTATGTGATACAAAAGTTAGGTTAGGTACTTCAAATCTCATCGTGTAATGTTAATTTTTCCTACTTGCACGTTCATTAAATATAATATCCATTATGAGAGTCAAACCGAAGGGTAGAAGAGCGAAGAAGGTGGGGAGTATAACAAATGGACGTGGGAAAGGGAACACTAAGAAAGTTGATTTAAGCACTCTAAGTGTTGATGATTTCATGAACTCTACTTTTGATGAATCTGGGGACAGTGAAATCGATAATGATGACAACTCACCAGATGATGTAACTCGAGCAATGAATGAGGATCATCAGGAAGAAGGTATGTAGCTCTAATGTGTTTGTATATAGTTCTTGTATCTGATGACCGCCTCTTTGTCTAGTGGTCAGAGTTCGATTCCCGGTGCTACCATAGTGGGTCTGCAACGGCGTCCACTCAGCCCCATGATGATAATTGAGGAGCTATTTCAAGGAAATAGCGGCTCCGTTCTAGAAAACCGAAATTAACGGCCGTGGGGATTCGTTGCGCCGACCACGTGACACCCTCTATCCGCTAAAGTCGGCACTAACTTCGCTGACAAGCGGCGGTCGATCGCTGGGTATCGTTCGCTTGTTGACTAGAACCACAGAGTTTTTCTTGTATCTGATAAGAACGAAGTTGCCAAAATTGTTCTTTAAGTCCCATTTTTATGTGGCACTAGACAGCACCAAATCATGTCTCTAGAATATGTGTTTACCAGCAAAGAAATAAAAAATCAAACCACCGATTTAAACAGCTAAAATTGAAAGCAATGTGATGGATCAGAATTCCTTACTGCATGTTTGTGCTAGATTCTGTGGCAGATTAGAGTATGTTTTGATTTGGAAATTCCAAACACACAGATGGAACAAATGTTGGGATCCTTGAATGACGGAGGTGAGGAAGCTCTGAATTGTGGCTTTCCAGTAACATATGCAGTTGTTACTAGGGGTAACACTGCAGATTACGTTTTAAACCCACCTCCCCAAGCTCATACAAAATCATGAGAAGAAAGTATTACCAACTTATAAAAGATGAAGTAATTACATTAATTAAACTAATTAAAATGATATGATATATGTGACTGATGGGCTGTAGGAGAACGTGCCTACCTCTGAGAACCTCACAGGAACATGCTGCTTCCATCTTCTGTCAGAAGATGGAGACATCTCTCAGAACTATCAGTAAATGTTTACTAGAAACTACACAGTGCCACATTCCACATGGTAGTAATACTCACAGTCACTGCAGCATGTTTCTCCAAACTGCTGATAAATATCTACAAGACTGTATGGTATTACTTCCTAGAATACAGTAATCTTCAGGACATGCAATAACCGTTTCAGTGGCTGAAACCACATTCTAAACTTGACGTTTTTGTTTTACAGATTTAGCTGCTGAAGATGAACGCTTCTTTAGTGAGGATGAACATGAGGAAATTTCTGAAGATCATACTATGGGTTCAGATGCTAATAAAGCATCTGATGATGAAAATGTGGGAAATTCTGATGGGGCTGAAGACTCTGATGGTAGTAATGTGTTTGACTGGTACACACACAAGAAGTCTTTGGAAAAGTTACGTGATACTGATCCAGAATTCTACAAGTACCTTGAACAGAACGACAGGAAACTTCTTCAGTTCAATGTATCAGACAGTGAAGATGAGGCAGAGGAAGAGCAGGAGGACCAGATACACAAACCTGTGCCGGACTTGGAGGTGAGTTGAGGATGTGGCAGCAGTAGAATATGCACATGTATTTACTTTTGACATTCTCCTTCCTAGAGAATCAGTTTTGTCAGCGAGATAAGTTTTTTTACACCCATTAATATTTTTTGTTCCTCTTGTGTGGAGTGGGCCAGCTGTAATGATACACTTCATGGCTGGTTCCAATTGCATCACATGTATGTATGTATGTATAAGGGGTGGGCCATAATCCAGCCCTTGCACTACAACCTTCAACGATCAATTGTGCTTCCCATTTGGATTAACCCTTTATTAACCCTACACTTCGAATGAAATGAAGGACTTTATTTATGGGGGCATCATAAAAGCCACTTGGTTCCATAAACAACTGGCTCGGGTGACAAAATTGTAAATGAGCTATGGCTTCACAATCACATAGGACATGCGTGGCTGATTCGTCTTCTTGTAGGCACCTTTCACAGGTAGGGTCATCTACTGCATCACATGGTACAGAGCTGAACTGACATGTGTTGTCAAGTGACCTTGAACTAGGTTCTCGTCGTCATCATTACTTTCACTGGTAAGTTAATTATAATTTTGTTCTGGAATTAGGCCCTTGTAATTCCTTTTGCAAAATCCTCATCCTGTATCTGCTTCATAGCCGGATGATAAAGATGTGGCAATGCTGCACTGAACTGAACTGCTTAGGACAGAATAGTCTCATACCACTGCCAAGCAGCAACCGAGGGTCTCTGCTGAAGCCTGACCCCAGCTCCTGGTGTGAGTGGCAGTTTTGTATTGTTGTATTGATCATTTACACAGGAGAGCTGATGGGAATATTGTAAGACAGAATATGCTTAAAATTGTATTCTGAAACAGTCAGTTGAAAGATTAGTGTCTTCTGGGAGGTGATGCTGTGTAGCCTGGATGAAGTTTACCAGTGTTTTGGAAGATTGTGTTCCCTGCATCATGAAGATAAAAGGTCTACTCTGAAACATCAGTCAACTTTTGCCAGACTACCAAATTTCAAACCCAGAAGGCTGTAATCTCATAGTGATCACCTTTAGAACCTCAAATCTCATATCAGAAGGAAATTTTTAAGTGAAAGCAATTTTAAGGAGGAAAATTGCTGAAAAGTGATGTTGATAACTGCCTGTATAAAATTGTTCCTTTATAACTATGTCTATAGAATTGTCATTTGAATATACTTTTATGACAGGTTGCAAGCGATGAAAGTGACTTTGAAGCAGATGACAAGCCAAAGGATGAACATGTGGTGACCCTAAAAATGGTCAAGGACTTAGAGGAAAAATTACATAATTCCAGGTACCATGGTTAAGTCAGTCAGATTTTCAGAGCAGCTGTATCCTTCTCCATATATCTGCTGTAAATCTAGGATATTATTCAGTTTTGATGAGAGAAAGAAAGTAACATTCATGGCTGTTGGCAAGAAAAATGTTTTGTTTAGTTTAGAATCTGTTCTTTATTATACAAGAGTGCTCATTCTGTCAAATTATTCCTTTTTTTTTATTTGGGGTAATTGCTATGGGACTGAATCTGTTTTCCTTGTCAGTGGAGTAAGTGGCAAAATTCAGGAATAAAAATTTTTAAATTATACTTCTTATTGGGTTGAAGAACTTGTAACCCCATCTGTTTTTGTAAAATACTGAAAGAATGGGAAATGAAATTATGTTACATTTTGAGTTTTATCTGCCATTTATTGCTTGGAATATGATGCTGATCCATTCACCCCTGCTGGCTAGAAACATAAAAATTAGAATATACAAAACTATTACTTTGCTGTGGTTCTGTATGGGTGTGAAACTAGATCTCTGATATTAAGGGGAGGGACATAGACTGAAGAGATTATTTGGACCAAAGAGAGAAGAAGCAACAGGAGATTGGAGAAAACGGAATAATAAGGAGCTTCATTACTTGTACTCTTCGCCATATATAATTAGAATGATAAAGTCAAGGAGGATGAGATGGACAGGGCATGTAGCACGAATGGGTGAGACGAGGAATGCATGTAGAATATTTGTGGGAAAGCCAGAAGGAAACATCCACTAGGAAGACCAAGACGTAGGTGGGTGGATAATATTAAAATGGATCTTAGAGAGATAGGATGGGGTGGTATGGACTGGCTGGATCTGGCTTAGGATAGGGACCAGTGGAGGGCTCTTGTGAACGTGGCAATGAACCTTCGGGTTCCTTAAAATATTAGTAAGTAATTGAGTAGCTGCACAACTGGTGGCTTCTCAAGAAGGGCTCATCTCCATTAGGTTAGTTATCATTCTCAATACTTCAGTTGAACATATTTGGGCCATGTAAATTATGGGTAATCTGTGTTTTGTGTTCAGTTCTATTGATGCTACAAGATGTGCAGTAAAGATGTTCCACTCTGCTCTTCAGAGGGTTACCTCACCCCAGGAGGAAGACACAGAACCAGCAGAGTTTGTGGTTGAAGGCAGCCCAGGTGAACATTTTACTTTGTGTTAATGCTTTTTAGTTTTTATGTTGAAGGCACTATTTGTTCAGTGAAACCTTGCAAGTAAAGATGGTCTTGTGGGATATGACACTAAGTAGTTTGACATGTGGGTACCAACATTTCAGAGTAACATGCTGCCCCTCAGGCTGTGCCATAGCTCAAGCGATTAGTCGCTGGCTTCCCACCACAGCAGCCCGGGTTCGATCCTGGGTCTGGTCAAGTGGGATTTGTGGTGGACAAAGTGGCACTGGGGCAGGTTTTCTTCGAGTACTTCGGTTTCCCCTTCCAACCTTTATTCCACCGATTGCTCCACAATCACCCTCACCTATCATCTGGGGCTGGTACCATAGGCCAGAAGTGGCTGCAGGACAAGGGACTTAGTCCCACCCCACTAGCAATTAAAAAAAGAAAAACATGCTTGTCTACCCTGAAGATGGAAGTAATATTTTCCTCTGAAATGTTCATACCCACCAGGCAGGCTGCACAGTGTCACTGTTATCTTAATATAAAACACCATGGGAAGTTAAAATGCCATTGATACTGTTCTGCTGAAAACATTGCTTGAAAACCATGCACATCAGTGACAGTGGTTAGAGTGTGGTTTGCAAGTAGTGGATGTTTGTGAAACAGAGATAACAGTGTACCTCAGCCCACTTGTCACTGTAACATTCCACCATTACTTGCTGTGGTCACACGAGGACATGTTCTGTACTTTATCTTCTAATTTCCTTTTAAAATAATTTCAGGAATGACTCATGATGCCTCCTTTCTTTTAATTTGTATTGGCATTATAGTAATGGAGCATCTCCACTATCCAGCTGGCCAAGCATGGCAATTAAACCTGGAGCTATCCCTGTAGTACTGCAGGATTTATAATCCCATATTCCAGAACAGTAAAGACTAACATTTCCACACATACACAAAAATTAACATGAATTATAAATCACTGATGATGCAATTTGTCAATTATAGAAATGTTTGTTATGAGACAAGAATTCCCCTGATGTAACATCTGAAATTGAAGAGCGTATTAAATTTGGAGAAATAGATTGCTTACAGTTTTATTAATTTAATCATTCTTTATCCTGAAAATGTTACGGTATTGTATGTCCATATAACAAGGTGAATGTATGTATGTTTGAAGATGGGTACAAGCCAAATTGTACATATGCTTTGTGATGTGTTTGGTAGTGAATTTGTTAATGACTGAAATGTGCATTGTGTATATTGGGATTCTTATCATTACAATGGTGTGCCCTGACTGTTACAGTGTTCAATGCAGTTGTTCAGTTGTGTGTTCTGGAGATACAGGCAGCATTCAAACGTTGCCTGAACCTGTCATCCACTGTCAAGGAGCACATTCAGCTAACCAAGTGTAAGAAGTGGAGGAAGATGAAACCTCTGCTCAGCTTATATCTGACAGATCTTGTCAAGGTGAGGATCATGGGCACACTGCATTTACACTCTTAATGAAACTCTGCTGAACGTTACTCTCCAAGCTGTGAACTGTGTTCACAGATTTCACAGAATGTATTGTTAATGACCATGTAACTCAAAAATATTGGCTGCATTGCCCATATCCACACAGTGGAAAGACGTAAGATGAATAAGTATCAACAAATGATATAATGGTTCTGTGTCTTTTGCGCTATTTACGCATTCGTTTTCTGCAGGTGAAGTGACCACAGTTATGAAGTTGGTCACTCATCTTGAGGCAGAGGTCTAGAATGTTCTGAATTTTATGTTAAAAGCCCCAATATATCAGAATGGCATGGTGTTTAGGCACAATGGCAACTCTGCCTTAATAGCTTTTTCTTTCTGTTAATATAGGAAATGTGAGAAACATAACAGACACTCACAAATGTAGGTTCATGCGGATACAGGCATGAATGTGAACTTGTTATTACTGACTATGGAGCAGAGTCCTTCTTGAGAAAATGAATATTGTTTGACTGGTTAAGAACCTGAGGAGTTCTGTCATCTGCAATATAATACCATGTAGTCCATTGAAAACCAGCTGGTGTTTCTGAGGAACGTATTGCCCCCATCTTCTAGGTTGAAGGGTAAGCCAAGCAAAAGGAACTACATGGGAGATAGAGCTATTCATAGCCACCATTGTGAGGACATCACATCGTACATGGTTAAAAACTGCTTGCATTTTATGGAACCAAAAGATTCATTACCATGTTCACAGGACACTGCCACTCATCCCTGTCCTGAGCCACAACTTATTTCTGTAAGATTCATTTTAATATTCTCCCATCTGTGTCTGTCTCTTCTAAATGGTCTTTTCCTTTCAGTTTTCTGACTTACCTTTATATGCTTCCTTCTCTTTCCCATGTGTGGTTCATAACCCTCTTACCTTCCTCTACTGGATCATGCTAACTGTATCTGGTAAGAATACAAATCATAAAGTTCCAAATATTCCCTCACTGCCCTGTTCTCAAATCCCTTAATCTGTGTTCTTGTTAATACAAAATTCTGAATACATTTTATTTTCAGTTTCTTGCCAATGTCTCGTCTTCACATATTCTTGCAGTACTTTTAAAACATTTGCACCAACTTGCAATGTTCATGCCATACTTTACCAAACTGAGACGTCCACTTCTGAAGAGGCTGGTATCACTGTGGGGTTCAGGAGAGGAGACAGTTCGAGTCTTGGCCTTTTTGTGCCTTCTGAAAATAACAACCAGGCAACAGAAGGCATTGCTTGAGCCCGTGTTGAAGGTATGACTATAATTCACATTTAAGCATGCTACTTTATTTATGAACTCTGCCAGTTTAGCTGTACACAGCCAAAAATGTCTATGCTTAGAAATAGAGCTAACTTCAATCATTGGATTATCATCTTTGCAGCGTTAAATGCAATAGGTACATAAAGTTTACACCCTTCCTAGGCATTGTACCATTTAAGGCATAAAGTGGATGTGGAGATATAGTACATAAAGCCATGGAAAGAAGTCTCACGGGTGGTGGGAATAACAGCAGTTACTGGTTCCCTGTTTATGTCTGCTGTTGTATTCCCTCCAACTCTCATTGGCATATGTCAGCCAGCTCAAAGTGCTCATCACTACTGAAGGTTATCACGTGATTACCACTATCAGCATTCTTATGAACAGAATGGGTAGAAAAATGAGGAATATAGGGAATTACACTGGAGGGGGAAATGTAAGGGTTCAAGGGAGATGTAGAGGGGAGCCTGCCCACGGGACTTCTCTCCATGGCCTCAGTATGAATAGAGTTAGTGGCCAACTTCATGTTCTGGCTACTTCACTCCTGGTATCCATGGGATAGGAGGTGAAATGGATCCAAGAACTGTGGATGTTGTTTTATTAAAGTATGAGTTGGATTTTTTCAATTCACCTAATCCTTCCAGCTGCACTATGGCCCTGGGGTCGACTCAGCCTCTAACAGAAATGAGTACCAGGAATATTCTTGGGGGTAAAGAGCGGCCGGCACATAATGCTGACAACCCTACCTCCATCTGTGAGCTGATTGTCTAGAAAATGTGGGACCCTCAACATCTCACAACCCTATGGGCCTCCATGGCCTGTTACAGGAATAGCTTTACTTTTATGTGCTTTTATTGGGAATGTTGCACGTGTCCGCTGGGTAGTGCAAAATGAGCAACAAACCTGGCAAAGCTTCCCAAAAGAGAAGTGCAAAGTTCTTCAAGATGCAACAAAGCAAGAACTTGAGTGCTCTCTATTGGGAAGCAAGAAGCAAAATGGGTTAAACAATCCCAAATGCAGCCATTGGAAACCAAGCAACCAAGCAACCAACCCCAGCCATTCCTGAGGTAATCTCTTTATTGGTTGATCTATCCTAGTTTATAAATGATTGGATATATAAATCTATATATACTAGAACATAGAAAATAGAGATAAGTATTACACCAGGATAGCTCAGTTGCTATAGCAACTGGCTATGGGCTGGACAACCGAGGAGTCAGAGTTCGAGTCCTGGTAGGGTCGAGAATTTTCTCTTCTCCACATCGTCCAGACTGGCTCTGGGGCCATCCCAGCCTCATATCCAATGGGTACCAGGGGGTNTTTCGAGAAAAAAACAGCGTTTATTTCGTTCGTTTATCACAGAAATTGCAGAAATAGGAGCAAATTTAGTAAGTGACTACAGTTTTTACGGATTTCTAATCGCGGGTATTTAAATATATTGCGTACGGCTGCCTTTACCGGAATTTAAATGCCCGTAGGATAAGCGTTAAATGTTTATAATGCATTTAAATTAAATGGGCTGCCACACATTGTGAATTTAATGGTACAGCAGATGGTTAGTACTAAGATTGCATATTTGTTGCAGGGTCATGTCATGGTACTTCGTTAATAATAGGTGGTGTTCCCTATGCCCCCCCCCCCCAATATATTGTCTGCTAAGATGGTAATGTCAGTCTAAAATAGCTTTGAGGGTACATTGTATCTTGCCTCTGCAGTCTTATGGATGTCCTGTGTGTTAAACAAAATCTCTGGTATGGCAGTTTTGGTTCCCATCGAATGTTGAAAATAGATGCTAGTAACTTCTTAATGATGTAGCAATTTGCATTAATATCTGATGATCATGCACCTTCATTCATGTTACAGTATGTAATCCAGTGGTAACTATCAGGAGTTACTGCAACCATATTTGAATCACTTTTGACATCACTGACTGAAGATGCCTTTTGGTTTTCTGACTAAATATTGGAGTGTACTGGAATGGCCACACTAACTTGCAATTTCCATAGTTTTACTTTGCCTTTCCAGGCAAACACTGAGAGTACATGTAAATAGACATCTTTGTTCCATATTCTTTCACGCTCTTAACTCACATTTGTCCTCTCATTCAGTGTTATTTAACTGATGCAATTAAGATAGTTTTTTCAGTGAACTAAGGAAATAAGAGTAAGGTTACTTGAAATATCAAAATATTTCTATGAAATAGAACTGTGTGTAAAAGGGATTAGGAAGAATCATATCTGTTGAGGAATGAAATGTGTATTTCAATTTGTCTTAGTGGTAATTCTTAATTTCTTACAGATGATGTACCTGACTTATGTGAGGAATTGTAAATTTGTGGCCCCTTCTACATTGCCAGCTGTCCGGTTCATGCGTCAGTCACTGACGGAAATGTTTGCTCTGGACGAGGCTGCATCATACCGGCATGTCTTCCTATATGTTCGGCAGTTGGCAATTCACCTTCGAACTGCTATTACTCTCTGCAAGAAGGTTCTTAAACATCATAATACATATGTGATCATAAGGAATTTCATTTTCTTGAAGTATACTATATCTATGTGAATTTAAGACCTCAGACATGAAATAAGTTCCTGTACTGTATGAAAAGACTCTATGCTTTAGGTCATATCTGAATTTTTATGTATGTTATATTCCAACAGGAGAATATTCAGGCTGTATATAACTGGCAGTTTGTCCAATCATTACATTTATGGACAGAGGTTCTTGGAATGACAGCCCATCGACCACATCTCCAGCCACTACTGTACCCTCTTGTGCAGGTAACTTCTCTCTGGATTGATAGTGGCAAGATTCAGACTGCATCCCTCAGAATGATTCAAGTAATATAATCAGTACATTCCAGTCTGTCACAGATTGCATGCAGCAAAGATGAGGTGCCAATTGACTATTACAAAGCAAATAGGTGGATTTAAAATCTGTAACTAGTACAGTAAGCAAGACCTGAAAATAGGAATATTGCAAGGCAAAAAGAAAACTGGTGAAAATAAAGATATGAATTAGAAGTGAACAGCAAAAAGATTTATCTGACATTGTTACATATGAAGTTGAACTACATATATATATATGAAACACTGGAGAGACCACGTGAGGGAATATGCACTACAGAAGCTGGGTACAAATGGACACATATGTGGGAAGAATGGTTATGAGGGGCTAAAGAAGACTGGAGAAACTCCTGTCACAAGACAACCCACCAAGCATGTTGACTGAAGCATTAGATTTTATTCAGTAGATGCATAGTTCATTTGTTGACCAGGACACTTACTACTCGTATTGTTGCTTTTCATTGTTTTTCTTACTCCCTCCAGGCAAATTCTGAGGTAAAACCTCAAGTTAGGCCATGACATTCTTCCCAGTTCATTATTCACTAATCATCCTACCATTTGACACAGTCTGAGCTACTGACAGCATCATTAAATGTACCATAATTTTTAATGTTAGAATCTTCCTGTTTCAGATAATTATTGGCACCATAAAGTTGGTTCCCACAGCACAGTACTATCCTCTGCGTTTCCATTGTGCACAGATGTTGATTCAGCTCTCCAAGCAGACTGGAACATTTATACCTGTTTTACCATTCATACTTGAGGTAAAGCTTTGTACAAAAATCTCCTAAACTTATTTCCAGTTGTTCAGTCAGCTGGTAAGAATGACCTGGGAAATAAAAAGAATAGGAAAGGGTTAATGAATCTTCCTACATGGTTAGCATCCCAATTTGATATTTTCTCATTTTCAATCACATATATACATGTTATAAAGTATTATGTTAAACTATCAGTGTTGCTGAATATTCACTTTCCCAAACTTATGTTGAATGTTTTATATTCATGTTACATTCACATATACATAGCCCATGATTAGAAGCCCTTTTATTGGTAGAAGAATGTGATTGTTGAGAAAAGTTACACAGGGTCAGACTATCCCTAGAAACAATACAGGATGGCAGTGTCCTTTCATGTATTCTTTTACTTGAAAACATCATTACATGAGATCCTGTGGCATAATATTACGTACACACACTTATAAAAGAGTAAGGTAATTTGTGACATTTTATAAAACATACTAATTTGTGAATATATATACTTTGTGAATTTATTTGCTACAAATCATAATGAGGATAAATGTGTTTGGATTGCACTGCTGTGACTGACTGGACCAAACTGACCTGACTTCTCTGCAACAGAAGTTTCGGACAACTTACTTTTCAAGTACCAAAATGTGTTCTTGCATGTCAGCCATGAGTTTTTGGAATTGGCAGTAATTATCTCTGGTGTGTTGGCTGTGTTGTTGCACTGTATATGCATTCTTATTTTAAGTGAGAGTTCAGTTGTGTCCTTGTTACATGCGTTAAATTCCCTTCACTTATGATTTCCTTGTAAAAAGAAAAAGGCAAAGTCCCTTTGCTTAATTAATTAAGCATCACATCATGAAGATGTATGGGGAGTGGAGGTATAGCCCATGTCTTCATGGTGTGGTGCTAAACTAATTCAATTACTCCCCAGAAACATTAAACAGAGGTTTCACTTATCTTCACTGTTTGCATCCTGTTGTGTATCATGATTGGTTGTAGTTGGCCATCAACACACTGTTTCACTGTATTCATTGACAGGTGCTCAGTGGGTATAACTTCAACAAACCACACAAGAAAGTATCAATGAAACCCCAGGACTTCACATGCATTCTTAGGCTCTCAAAGTCACAGCTTCAGGAGAATGGCTTCAAGGATGCTGTAATAGAGAAAGTTTACCAGCAACTCCTGGAGTATCTTGCCAGTGAAGCTCATACGATCTGTTTCCCTGATACAGTGGTAGCAGCAAGCATACAGGTACAACATACTATTTGTACTTCCTGGAAGCATAGTAATTAATATATTTGATGATGCATCATGAGCTGATGAAAATGTTGGTTTTCAAATATTTATGAAAATTCACTTCCTTTGCTGGAGTATATTTGTACCAGGTACATTCCAGGAAACATTTTTATCTTACTTTGAACACACATCACTCAAAACAGAGCACACAGGCCTTGTCCACTCTTCAGCATAACATCCTGGTCTCTTCTCGTGCATATTTGCTAACTTTGCATCCAAATCTGGAAACATTTTAGAAACTGTTCCTTAGTGTAAACTGTTTTCCTTGATATGAACTCACTTTCTGAAGATTGCTGTCTTCTTGGATGTTACAATGTGTTATCTGGTAGGAAGGTATTTACCAAACTCGTACATGGTGTCACATACAGAAGACATCTTCATAGACACTGGTCTGAGAACCTCAGATCTCTCAACCCATTTTGTAAGAACAGAATCTGACTATTTCATGTCACCACATGGCTATCAGTTCACAGCATGTGCCACAGGTAATTTTGTGCCCATCAGATTATGAATAGTTCTTCAGAAGTAAAACTGAATCCAAAGCAAAGATGGTCTGAAAACATGACTTCTTCACATGACCTTTAAACTGCACCTGACCAAGATAAGGTGACATTTTTGCTGGGAACAGACACAGCACATTGCAGAGTTGCCAGCTTCTGGTGGGAAAACTTTTATAGCAGAAAGCAAGCTGGGCTGAATTTTGAAATCTATCCCATGCATTGAAATTTAATTTTATTGGGGCATGTTTGTTTTTCTCATATGAACTGAGATGTTGTATCAGATATGAGACATGATGCTATTTCAAAAATTAAAATACCAAACATAATAAATTAATAGTTTTTGATTAGAAGCCAGAGCTTCAGCACTAACCACTTTTGAACCCCATTCTGAGACAGTTTAGCCTAGTGTATATTAATAATATCTTTTTCCTTAAGATTTATTTTATTCCCTAGTATTTCATCTGGTCACTTTCTAAGATATTTCCACAACAAAATTGTGTACACATTTCTATCATGAGAAATTAACTACCCTACCAGCATAGGAAAATGATGTCCATATAATTTTCTGAACCCCCCCCCCCCCCATTAATTATTTTCTCTTAGACCAAGATATTCCTTATGGCATTTTGTTTTCTGATACATAAAACTTCTGTTCTTCTGCATAAAGACCATAATTCAGAGCCACAAGAAACAAGTGAAAAGACTGTAACTTTTATCTTCTTACTCCACGAAGATTGAGTGCTCTCAAGGCCTTTTCTGAAGTTCAGAAACTTGTTCTGTCTACTCCTCAGTCTTCTAATAGATATTATTTCTTGTGGTGTCATACATGTGTGTCACTTTAAGGATTCTGTCATCTTGTTTCTTTCATCATGCTATCTCAGGTTTACTGCATGACCACCATGGAAGGGCAGCTGAGGTGTGCAGCACATTGTGTTGTCATCCACCTTCCCACAGCGGTCTTACTATAACTGATTGTGTTTATGTTATAAATCATGTTTTAATTATTTTATATATCCTAATTTTTTCTTTTTTTAGTTAAAGAAGTTTGTGAAGGAATGTAAGTCTGCAAACTACAGCAGAAAGTTAAAGCAGATCCTTGAGAAAATTGAGGAGAATGCAAGAGTTATTGAGCTAGAGCGTTCCAAAGTTTCATTCTCATTAAGTGACCGTAAAGCCATAGATGCATGGGAAACCAACTTGAAGTTAAATGGAACTCCTCTGGCTATATTCTATGAATCATGGAATAAAGTAAACTTACAGCAGATGGCTAAGCGAGCTACCAACAATGACAAGGTAAATTATATAACAAGAAACTTCATGACCTATTATCTTTCTTATTGTGGTATAAGGTTATTAGGTAGGAGAGGCAGAACATGAGAAATGCATACAGAATTTTGTTGGAGAAATATGGGAAAAAATTATGAACTCTTGCAGAAGTGAGTTAAAATAATTTTTACTGCATAATGTCAGGCTAACGAGGACTAGGTGGATACATTCCATTCATGACAAATTTCAAACCAAAAATATGAAAAATAAGTAAGCGTTTGATTGGTTCCTAATTTTGAAATGGAACAGAAAGTGGGTTTTATGAGTTCTGCTTGGAGTTTCTTGTTTTTCTTTGTGTTGCTGAAAAAAACTACATAGTTAAATATCTAACTGACTTGAGTTTAATAAGCTGGAAAGATGAAAGTTAATGTGATTGAACTTCTTCCATTCCTGTTGCTCCTCTGACTTGGAGCATAGGACATCCATGAAACACTTCAGTTTCTTAATCTAAGACAGTTGGTAGGACTCCTTGGATATGGGATCAGTCCACTGCAAGGCCTGTACCTAACACAAACACAGAATAAACAGACTCCATGCCTTAAGGGCAATTTGAACCCATGATCCCATTGTTCAAGCAGGCAAAACTCATTTCATGTCTTAGACTGTGCGGTCACTGTGATCAGCACCGTGATTCAACACAGATGTAATATTCAAGTATTATGTCATATGAATGTTAAAATATATCAACCAAATGGCAAAGGAAGGTTACTGTAGTAAAAGACTTCAGTCTGCTTCAGGGGGATGTGCTCTATAAGATTTAAATGAGTCATATACATTTAATGGTATGAAGAAATAAATTTTAATTGGCCCACTATAAATTTGCACCAGCAGTAAATGAAAGAAAGGTAAATGGGCATATAAAATTGTAGAAATGCATTTGGATAATTTGCTGCATGCACTCCAAATTGGAATGCAGCTTTTTACTCTTGTTTAGAACATCTCAAAAGTGTAACATCAGAGAAACAGATTGAAATTGAACACTAAATTAGGATAAATTTTCAATCAAGAAATATTGTAAATCTAGATGTAGTTTTTTATGGCAGATATTTTAGGAGGGCATGCTAAAAGGTAATGCCCCCAGTTTTTCAAAAAACATATGCAAGTAACCATGTGAAATAAATTGTACTCATGTAATTAAAATTTCCTGGAATCTTTTGTGACATTTTCATAATTCTTCCTCTATGAAGTATAGCCATAAAAATGGAACAGTGTAAGATGCCTATGCAGAATGAGCAGCGTGTGGTTTCTGACTACCAGAAATGTTCCACCAATTGACATTCATTGGCAAACGTCATCACCACAGCCATCATCACTGTGATCATGACCATCTCCACAATTGCCATGATGATAGCAGTTGTGAAGGTGATGTTAATGGCTGTTGAAGTGATGATGTCTGCTACTGAGATGGTGGTGATGGTGAAAGTGTGGTTTCAGCAATCAGAGGTAAAGTTCTGCCATGGCAGAGGCATGAAACCATGTTATGTGGAAGAATTACAGATTACTTTTGAGCTTTACCTCATAGAATTTTTGTTATTCTGGTTTTACATAGTAAGAAAAATTCATATTATTTCATTAATACAGCTAGGTGAATACAATATACCAACATTAAAGAAGCATGAAAAGAAACGCACAAATCCACAAGATGATGATGGTCCTGTTGAACTGTTCCCTTCATCAGATGAATCAGATGAGGATGTGGGCTTGACACTGAGGTGAGTAGACCCAATTCTCCTATAGTAAAACCTGTTAATGACAAAATCTCAAAGAATCTGAACATCTGATGCTTACCCTTTTAAGATGTTTCCTTGTCAAGACACTTTACTGATTTTCCACTTGGAGAATTTTATCAGAAGGATCCATTTCATGTTGTTCTGAATAGTTCACCACCAAAGAAGAAAAAACGTGGCACACGAGGCAGAAAGGGGAGAGGGAAAGTTCAGAAGATGTCAGTGGAAGATACAGAGAATGTACCTAGTGGAGAAGAAGATATTGTTCAGGATTTGCAGCTCTCTGACTTCAAGTAATGCCTGTCATGGAAGAGATGCTGTTATAAGGAAAAAATACTGTTTGTAAGTGTATTTTTATGCTGTACAGTTGTATCTCCAGCTCTCTGAAATATGCTGCCAACCAGAGCCTGAGCTTTCTGCTGAGGGAGGAATGGTAGAATTGGTGAGATATACAATTGCAAGTGAATATTTTTGTGTTTGCAGGGACAACATGGGAACTGGAATGGTGAGAACGGAGTGACAGCTCTTTATACTGTCATGTTATCAGGAGTTTTTAATGTCATGTGGTTTTATGTATTTGCTGGGCTAACTGCAGGAAGGTGCAAGTAAGCTTTCACAGTGGCTAGAGTTCATGAGATCTTCTTAAGACTATCAGCATGTCAGGTAGTCAGAAATTAATAAAACACAATATGCTGGTAATTTCTAACCAACTGACATGGCTGACAGCCCAAGAAGATTTTATCATCAGGTGTATGTCATACTGTGATACAATGACATTTATACTGGAGCAAAAGTGTTTCATGTCAGTCTGTCTTACTGTCCATACAATAAAGTTGTGTTGTCCGTACATGGTAACATTATTATTCACACCTTTTATAATTTACTTTGCTTCCTAAGACATATTCCTTTATAGAAAGCCTACTGCTGGTTCCTTCACTTCAAATCATCTCTTCTGTGGTCCCATAATATTATATTTTATTCCTTAAGAATTATTTGCAAAGATTAAAATATATTTAAGAGATGAAGGTTTTAAGAAGAGATCTACTGAAATATAATGCTGTGCAGTCCAATGAAGTCAACCAACATTTTGAAGGAATATACAGTCTCCATCTTCATATTAAAAGGGTAAGCAAAGCAAGAAACCAGCCTAGAACTCGTGATATGTTCCTCCAGAACAGTGGTTGACTTTCATCGTACTGCATGGTGTTATATTGCAAAAGACAAAACTATAAAGTAACTGCTGTGAAAAACTCAAATATAACAAGTATTTTGTTTTATTTTCTGTATTAATCACTTTTCACTGACAAAAATGGATCAAAGCTAAATGCATCTTATACTAGTACCCATTTTTGGGCCAGGATAGCTCAGTGAGTATAGCACTGGGCTATGGGCTGGGGTTCAATTCCCAGCAGGGGTCGGAGTTGCATGAAGCTGGCCACTCATATCCAAGTCCCAAGGTCAAGAATAGTGCAGCTATACTTCCCCTGCAAATGTTTTTATGGCATGGGGCTTAATTAATTAAGGACATCTTTACCTTCACTACTACCCATTTCACAAGACACTTTTTCCATACATTAGACAAAGGATTCAATGTACTTTCCACTGTGAATGTGTGGTGAACTCTGCCTACTTCCCTGGCTCAAGTTTTCCGTATCAGTCTGAATCAAAGATGTGATTATGTAAATACTGTTCTACAGATGTGTTTTATGAATCCCACTGGCTAGCAACATAGTTTCCACAAAATACTTTCTACATGTGTGACGATCCCAGTGACAGTAACAAATATTTATTTTTCCAGATTGAATTCTTCAGTATCCTCTATATCTTAGTCTTGTAGGCAGATATTGCTGTTTCAAATGAACATGCTATCTCAATCTTCAGGGTCAAGTATGTAATATGAAGTGTCAGTTGGGTTATGCAAGCAGGTCACAAGGAAGGTGGTCATTGATAGAGAAAATTGAGGCTGTTTTGGGCCAACAGGAATGAACAAACAAGAAAACTGCTCTTTTCAGTGCTGTGACGATCCCATTCATGGAGAGACAATTTTCCAATTCTAATTTCTTTTTACTTTTTGGAGCATGCAAAGGAAAGACTGTCATACCCATCAAGATGGAAATGCCCTAGAACTCATTCCAGCAGGAAGTAAACGTGAATGAGGGGGGAGGCTTCCTGACCTCAAGTAATTTCTGTCTGAGAAGGACCACAGAAGTGTTGCTAATATGTGACTTTATTTAAATATGAAGCTGAAGCCAAAGTGTACACTGCATGGAGCTTTAGTTCCATTCCCACTGTGTGATGATAAGCTGGAGAAGGTCTCCAAGCATACCATTTCAGATGAAACAGTCTATTATTTTTCAACCAGATTCATTTTGTAAGACTCCACATACAAGTCAGCAGTAGTTTATACTCCATATACTGAAATGAAATCAGAGGAGCCCCTGCCTCTTCAGATCTTCATAAGTCTTGCGGTTAACAACATTTCCTTGCGAATCTTCATATTCCTCCTCCTGTTCTGGTTGCCAGCGCTCACCATGCTTCTGGTTCTTCAGTTTCTCCCACACTGTAAAAACATACAACATGCTACTGATTTAATGAGGAACTAGTAGCCAAGAGAACTCACACAGAGGAACAATCATCATCATCAGATGAACAATACAGTAAATGGCTGACACTCTGCTTCATATTCAGGAGGTCTCAGGTTCAAATCTGACAAGAGACCAACTATCCTGAACATTTCTATCACAAATGACAATATAGCACTTTAAATTAGGCCCTGATTGCTTCCTGTCACATCCTTTCCAATTCACCATTCTAATCATCTTTCGCAACACTGTATACAGTAATGTCATCAACTGAAAGCATTATATAAACCAAGAACAGAAATCATCATCAGGCCTCAACATAAAGTTAATTCAGGCCATTAAATGGTCCTCAAAATGAACAAACCCGACATAAAATAATTTGCAACATATTTAAGGTAACTGTAGCTAAGAAAATTAGTCCCATAATTTGGATACTTTTACATTAATCGGAGATAAAAGGATGGACATAAAAAGTAATGATGTTTTTCAAAATCCTTTCAGGCCATAAAAATTTAAAGTGATACTAATTAAATAGGATGAACTAACATCTGTGCATCTGTGTGGCAGCTATACAAGGTTATAATGGTTTAATGAATAAAATACCTTACTACAGTAGTTTACAGTCTAATGTAATAAGTGTGTGATTTCAGGGGATTGTCTTAAGATTCGTGTATTCTGATAAACGTAATACAGAATTTTTAGATTTCTTCAATTTATCCAGCCAATAAAGTAAACTTAAGACTGACATAACTTCAAAGGAAATAAAGTTGGGATTACAAAAGGAAATGAAATTCATGGCCATGGAATGTAATTTCCATGATGCTGATCTGTTGGAGAGTTGTCTCTTAAAAATGGTGGTGTATTGTGCAGTGTTACTACTTCTTTCACCATGTTATATTGATAACCTGAAAATATTTCCTGTCAGTGCAATAAAAAAATAACGCCATTTTCAGTATTTGGGATTTATATTTTCTTGGGTGTACAGTTTCATGCATTAACCTTTAAACGACTAAAGTCCCCATATGGGGTCGCACAGTCCGCGCGTGCGGACGTTATTTGAAATACATTTTTAAGGTAGAAAATAATGTCCTACTTATATAATTTTTGGCCACCATCTGCATGGAGTGTCTGTCTTCCCACCTGCATCATCTGCCGGAATGTTGCCTTCATGTGGAATTCTCAAAAAAATCCGGAAATGCAGAGTCCGATTTCGCACTTCACGCACTTTGTCCGGACGGTCTTTCGTTTCCCACGTGAAAAGCACACAAGACACCTCAATTGCGAAGTAGAGGAAGTCGGCCAGTGATGTGGTTTGGCCTTCTATAATCGAGATATCTCCGATTAAACGGCAGGGGTTCGACTCCTGGTCGCACAGTCCGCGCGTGCGAACGTTATATAAAATAATATTTTAACGTAGAAAATGATGTTCTACTTATGTAATTTTTGGCCACCATCTGCATGGAGGGTCTGTCTTCCCACCTGCATCATCTGCCGGAATGTTGCCTTCGTGTNGACCCCTTCCAGCATGTTCCGCACAAGAGCGAGACGAAATTCTCTGTGTGACAACAGGATGTAACTGTTCAGATCAAGGAGATGGAAAAATAGCTTATTTGTCCATTTCCAGGTTCGACAACAGATGCTATAACTGTTTGCCACAGTTTGCCCACAGCTCCACCTGAATAATTATTCACACTCCTCGTGCCACGCTGGTGTGGTGGTCCCCAGGTTGCCGACGAAGATGATGGGTCTCCTTCGAAATAACTTTCTGATTCGCTACCTTCAACATCACTCTCAGAATTGTCGGTACAGCAATCTGTACCGAGTCGCTGATGAGCTGAAATATGCTAGAATATTCCACACGACACGACGATCAAACTTTGAAATCCTCCGACTGAAAACTTCCAGGAACGAAGCTCTATTACTCGCTCTGTTGACACTGCAACGCATGCATAAAGAATGATAGCCTTGAACTATATAAAACAGTAAACATATTGTGTAGCACTGCTCGATAAACCACACTGAGATTATTTCACTCGCCCACTCTCCTCATTCCAAAAGGACTACGTCATTTAGACCCTGATAAACTCTAGACGCTGTAAACACTGCATCTGCTGCATCCGCTGTGTTGCCGAGTGTCGTCATCCACCAGCTTGCATTCAAACGTATCGAGAATGTATGAATTCTTGTAGAGAAAAAAAATGGGAAATTTCTTCTTTGGAGTCAGTGCAAAAATTTTATCATGTTTTATACAATCTGTAAATTACAATATCTGATTCTATATTCTTTAGAGAAAAAAACAGCGTTTATTTCGTTTGTTTATCACAGAAATTGCAGAAATAGGAGCAAATTTAGTAAGTGACTACAGTTTTTACGGATTTCTAATCGCGGGTATTTAAATTAATTCCGTACCGCTGCCCTTACCGGAATTTAAATGCCCGTAGGATAAAGGTTAACAAAGAATAAGAAGTTTATGTGAAGATTAGAGTCTTTGCAATGTAACACCATGTAGTCTGGAAAATAGGTGCCAACATTTTGGAGGAACCTGCTGCCAAACTCTTCTACCTTGAGGAAAATAGGCAACAGGGTCCTCTGAAACACTGACACCAATCTACAAAACTACACAGCATCACATCCCAAAAGACTCTGTGAAAATCTCAAATTTCACACAGAAACTGACATATTCTCATTACTCCACTATCATCTGAATGAAAACTGAATGGGTTGACACAGCGGTAATACTCTAGATTTGTACTCAGGAGATGCTCAGCACCACTACATTTGGTTCCCCTCCAATTCATCATTCACCTGTCATCCTACCATTTTATGCTATGTCTGGCTACTGATGTCATAAATAAACAATAAATAAATATAAATGAATATTTATATAGTCATTTTGATAAATGGACACATCCTACTACTGCTACTACGGCCAAAAACACAGCACAAAGATCATTTTTACAAGAGTCTCTTAGAATAATAATGAATAATAAATTGTAACACTTACATGCAAGGGCATCTTCAATCTGCGTAACATTGGCAAAGTGAGCTGTGTTTGGGATCCCCAGACATCTCATTCCATGAGCATGGCGCCATTCCTGCAAATGAATACAAAATAAAACACCAAACACATGACCTGAAATGCAGTATGGATTTAACCTCTTAATGCCAGCATCTAAACCCCTACAAGTTGTACACTGCAGTGGTACTTTAATGGCCTTGTACCAGAGATTTCTCACAGCATTTTTCACTATTATCTATTTTAGATATTACTGATGTAAATTTTATTAAATTTTCTGGAGGCATTACAACTAGTGCGAACTTTCAGGTAGCAAAATATGTCACTTGTTTCCGGGCCGCGCGGTGTACTAGGCAACACCATTTTGAAGCCACAAAACAACTGGTGTAAATGTCACAAAATATTCTTTTACAGCTACTATGAAATTAGAAGAAACCACTACAGTGAAAACTAAAAATGTTGCAGGCATAACATTTGGTTCATTTGATTCTCTGCTAAGAGATAATAGAGCACTGATGATTTCTGTCAGCTTGCAGCTGGTGACAACATATTCAGGCTACTGCCAACAGCATATCTCACAGGCTTGTGAGTATATCCTCAAGATACCTCCTTCAGGAGTTCAACTATCCTTAACCCAACAGCAGGAACTTATTTATAAAATAATAAACACATTGTCACTACACCTTAACTGAAAGGATAGACAATTAGAGCAGTATTAGTGAGGTAAAAATTTAATTTAAGGAACATTAACTAAGTATTCACAAGTTAGAACCACAAATGCAAAGTAACTGATTAGCTATATGTATTCTAAATGCATGGTCTGATCTTTCATTAGCTAATGACTGTAACAGACACCTTCAGCATCACATGACAAAGTGAATTTTAGAAAGATTTTTCCCAGGAAGGAGTATGTGTCTTAAGTATGAAAAGTATGGTATTGGAACATATTATGTAGACATATGCAATTAGCCGAAAATGAGATATTGCAAAGTAAAAGAATGGACTTACAGCAAAGTGCCTCTGGAAAGCCTTGGGCCCCTTATATGTGAAGTTGCCGCAGATCTCACAGTTGTAGCTGATGTTAAGTCCATGCAGTTTATACAGCCAATATGGAATTGGCTGGAACAAATGAAAGACATCCTCGGTAATTATAACAGAGTGCCACTTTTGCAATACTTGGGTCATATTTATTTTTTTCACAATTTTATTACTTTGAAAAGGTAATGAGCAACATGTGCTATTTTACCTCAGTCAATCATAAAATGCTGCAACTGAGCTACAACACAATTCATACATACCTTGCCATCCCAACCTAAAGGTAAGTTCTTTGGATTATATGGCACATCTGTATCATCTTCATCTTCTGATTCGCTGGCACTGGCCTCAGCATCTGAGTCATCACGCTCACCTTCAGTACGAGCCTGTTTTCTCTGAACATTTTCCTTTGTAGCATTCCTCTGTTCTGATAACAGCTCTGTGAACCTGTTGTAACATAAGCACTGCCACATTATATTGTATAAATATCAGCAATTCTCCATACTACTACCTTTACTGGAACATAAGTTGATCCCCTTTCCAAATTCATTCTTTAATACATTGCAGACAGGAGGGGCCATATGGCCCTCTATGTTTCCAAGCGTTGCGGACCGGTCGGGCCATATGGCCCTCTACAGTCACGTTATGTTGCAAAACGCTATATAACGCTGTGTGGCTTCGTTGAATCGTAACTACTGCGTAGATGACCTCGGGAATGATTGCTGCCTTATCTAGTAACTCGACCAGAGTCATTTCCTGTCACAACCTAAACAAAATTGGCTTTGTTCTAATCCAAGCTTGCACGTATGAACCACACAGCTACCAGTTCAACATGGCTCAGAGACGAAAGCAGTTGCGATCTCTCGGAGGACAGGAAATATTAGGTATGTTCTCCGATGAGCTATCAGATTTGCCAACTGCTTCGTCTTCTGATAGCGAGGCCATTATCAGTGACAGTGACAGTGACGGGGGCCACAGGGCTGCCCAAAATGTATCAAGTGAAAGTGAGAACTCCGTTGAAAGTGCGAGTGTCAGGACAGCTACATGGGATAAAGTGGACAAAACCCCCACTTTGGGAAAGTTTACTGGTGATCCGGGGGTGAAGCAGATGCCATCGGACCCAACGGACGTGTCTGAAGTTGCGTCACTGTTTTTTGGAGATAGTTTCTTTGACCTGTTGTGTCCGGAAACTAACAGATACTATCTCCAACACCGTGAGGCGTACGACAGAACCAATAAGGTTTTGAAGTGGGTGGATGTCACTTCAACAGAAATGAAATTTTTTTTGGCTATAATCATTCTAATGGGGCTTACGAAGAGAGAAAGTTTGAAGGATTATTGGTCAAGTGACCCATTTTTAGAAATTGCAATTTTCGGCAAACTCATGAGTCGTAAGAGATTTGAACAGATATGGTGGTGTT